CATATTTGATGGTTATGAAAAATATGATATTGATGACATCAGAGTTATTTGCCTGATTTTAAAAACTGTAAGTCAAGAAAAATATAGTAATCTAATAGTATTATAATTTATACACTACATTGCAAAAAATATTTTTTTTTTCCTCTTACGTTTATTTTATTTTTGAAAGAACATCACTCACCTTCATCAAAACCTAAAATTGGCTTGCAATTCGGTACCACTAATGAAATTTATGATTAATAAATGTAAAATTTTGATGCTCTGTATTAGTTAAAAGAAAAAAATCATTCATAGAAAATTTTATACCGGATGATATCACAAAAATTTTATATTAGAAAAACATCCACGTGAATTCTTCCTTCAACGTGTTTATCAAATGTATATAAATATATTTTTATTTTTATTGTCACGTGCATTATAAATGAATATATATATATATATATTTTTTAATTTATTTTTAAAAATAATATATATGAAATATATAATTGTATATTGCAAATAAAATTAATAAAATGCATATTATATGTAAAATTCGTTTCATGTGCAATATATAAATTTATTACTTTTAAGATTAATGTAAAATTAAAACTTTAAAAAATTAATGTAAACTTTAATTCATTTTTATTTATCAAATAAAATTATTTAATAAAAGTCTTTCAATCATAGTAGAATTATTATTTATAGATTGGATAAATTTTATTAATATTTTAAAATAAAATTAGCAATTTAAAATAAAATCAATATAAATATTTATTTTGATCAATTCAAAAGATTTTCACACCCACACTTTTATATTATATATTTTATTGCATATATAAATATAGATTAGGTAGGTTTTTATGTGTAGGGTAGTTAGGCTACAATAAATTAATGTTACTCAAAGTATTTTATTTTTATCTTAGAAACTAAGTGAAGGAAAGAAAAAGAAAAAAAAAATGAATCTCAAAACTGTTCAAATTTGAACCGTAATCTTTTTATTTGATATATAATGTAGCTTTCATTTATCTGCTGCCCAATTTGAGCCTTCCGATCAGTCAAATTTGGTTCCTTAATTATGTAGATGACTTATATTCTTAAGCATCTGCTAGCTCGCGTTCCAATTAGCATTAGTTAAAAAGATCATAAGGAGTAGTTAGTAAATGAATCAAGTACGAAAATCAATCCTTCACATTCATTTTCTTAATTTTTTCTTCCCCTTGCTTTGTCTTTTTCAATCAACTTTGGACCACCACCACCACCACCCCCACTTCCAGCGTTGAAAGACAGAAAAAAAAGAAGAAAATTAAATACTAAACAAAGGAGAGAAAACGAACCCGCCGAATTTGGCTTTTTCATTTTTCAAGTGATTGTTTCGCTTGGCTTGATATCTTTTTGAGGTGGATGCGATTTCAAAATATTAAAAGGGTAATTGACCCTTAAAATGGCGGGACCCTCTGCCGACGCACAAGCCAGCTAATGCCTCAGAAATATCAAAGTCCAATTTCCCACATCGGCGGGCTTAAGCAATTGACTCTTCTACCCAATCTTAGGCCTCCCGTGGGATCACACTATATTACTATTAGAAATGCAAAACTAATGGATTTTTACTTAAATAAAAAAAACGATGGATTAAAGTATTAAAGCAGTTGTGTTAAGTCTCGTCAAATTGTTGGACACTTTTGCTGGTGCTGATTTAAATTGTTCCAAGCTTAACTGGAAATAATTCTTGTTTTTTCAAATTTTGTTGCTTGATTTTTCTTACCTTTTATTGTTATTTTATTTCAAGAGTTGAACACGTAACCCCGACGATATGTATGAATCCCTGTTCTCAGATATACAGTAGATTGCTGATTTTATTTAATTTAGAGCTTTACTCTATTTTATCATATATACGTATTTATTTTAAGACAGTCCAATTGTCAATGTTCACATTCATTTAAAAATCTTTGACTTTTTTGTTTCCTAAATTTATAAACATTAAAAATCAAATCTTAATTTTATTAAATTTTATTTTTAAAATATAAATAAATTATATTTTTAAATATTAAAAATTAACCTTCTTTTAACTTGCATAGCTAATACACTAATACTAAAAAATGTATTTTTTTTAATTTCTAATCTATTTTTAAATTTTTCGTACTTTACTTAAAAAATATTATTTATATAAAGTTTTTCTAATCTCATAATTTTCAAATATTAATTAATCAATAATACTAAATATTTAGTAGTTGAAATTTCGCTGCAGCATTGAGCATTATTAGTACTGCACTAATGGCCGTTGGTCACCGGTCAACACACGGCAATAATGTTGTCAGTTGTCACTATAAATTAGAAAAAAGAATCATTTATTATTGCTTAATTTTGTGATAAAAGTATGTCTTAACATGACATTTAGCACATTACTAATTTACTATATTAAAAAATTAGACTGCGGAGACTGGACCATGATTTCTCATTATGTTGGGCCCCAATCTGTAAGGAACAAAGAATCCATGTAAATCACAATTTTTTTAACAGGCTTTTGATCTTTGACAAACAATATTGGAATAAAAAAGTGGGAGAGTGGAGCCCTTGATTATCAACCTTTTTTTCTCAATGTTAGGTGTCTTTGAGGTTGGAACTTGGAAGATAACAAATTGAAATTTTATTACTCCACTCCTAAAGAATAAATAGCATCAGATTTCTAAGAGGAGACAAGTGTGCGGTGATTGCAGAAGGATTGAGAATGGCAGAACGATTATAGCAGATATTGTGTTCAATTCGGTAACTGTTGTTAGGCACAATATTCCCACTGACAAACCTCCAATAATGCTCGGTACTGGTAGTGATATCATTGAACACACCATTAATGGTCCATAATTTTTGTTCCTAGGGTCCACCAACTTCTTTACGGGCTCTTTAAAAGACCCTTTGACCCATTTGAGCCAGTGAAAGAAAGAAAAGAAACCAACACCAAAATTTACAAAAAAGAAAGCGGAGAAGACAGGCAGAGGGAATGGATATCTGCGGAATAATTGCTAAAATAGATGTGACTGCCTACAGCCTCAGAATTATTGGCACCAATGCTTTTTATAGGGCCTTTTTTTTTATATACAGGGATTCTTCATCGAGAAGATTCTTGAGAAAAAGAGCTTTGGTCGAGTTGTTATGATTCCTTTCAATTGAGAAAGAATACTGTATGTAAAGAAAGGATGACACATCCAGTGAACTTACCCCTGTTGCCTAGGTTTCAACTTTCCCTGACATCGTCATTGGCTAGGTGATGAAAAACAGTGGAAATGCTTAGTATTGTTTCAAACTGGAGATGATAAGGAGTAGACAGCCCAGTTCCCAAGTGGTTAAAGCATATTTGATGATTCCCATCACTTCCCCAGTGCCAACTTAGAATGGAAGAGTTATGCCAATAACGTATCAAGGATCGAAATTTAGGTCAATTAATTTATATAATTATTTTTAAAAAATATTATTTAATAAGAATATGATTTAAATCTTTATACTTATAAATTTTTCTAATTTTAAGTTACAATATTTTTTATAAAAAAAATAATAAATACCAGTTTTTACTAAAATTATCATGTTTCATTGAAGGTTTGTGGTTCTTAATAATGATACAATACAAATTTTGTAGGATGGACACTAATGAGGTAAATATTAAGATACATCTAACCTGCAATTTGACCCTGTAACAGTATCCACACAAATTTGGCTGGTGATTTCCTATTCACTGGTAATTCTTTATATATTCTCTAAAGATTGTACAAAGTGTTAATTAAGCTGTTAATAGAATTTGAGACGGCCAAATCAAATACAAAAACTACGTATAGAAAATGCACTCCATGACCTGAGGCCGTGATAACATTTATATATACTGTGATGAATCCAGATCACTCACGAGAGTTGTCCAAGTATGAATTGTTTGAAAACGCTTTCAATGAATGAGGTTGGTTAAGAGGGCTCGCTGTCTCACATGGACGAACATGATGGATCATTTTTATAGAGAGAGAGAGTAGCCAAACTGTTGTGATCACAGATGTGCACTGATACACAGGTGAGTTCTGGAAATGGTCTCACATGTCACCTCCCCTGGTAATACTATATGACTAGGCATCAGAAGATAAGGGAGAACAGAAACGAAACTTGAGAAGGGAAAAAATATAAGAGTCGTAAAAGAAAAAATGAGCTAGTGGTGGAGAGTTGATCCCATGTGAGATTGTCACAGGTACTGCCTGAAAGGTACATGGAAAAGAGCGCAAGCCCATGAAGAGGACCATTTCTCTGTGAAAACAATCCCTTTTTGTTATCTGATATATACGAATCTAACTGTGATAAATGGTTGAGAGTACGGGTAAGAGAGGCATGGAACGTATGGCTGAATAAAGTCCACAAAATCTGACCAAAGATAAAAAGGTAGGCTATTCTGTAAGGCATTTTGTCTTTGGCACTTTTCTATGTAGTGCGATATATAATATTGGTCTTGACAGAGTGATGGTGATGACAAGTCCCCTCTAGCCGAAGGCCTCAGTCCTCACACATTGGCTTCCAAAATGATTGTAATCTGAGAAACCTATATAAGAAACAGGCTCACAATGGCTTTTCCTCCTTTGCATGTGAAAAGCACTGGTGCTTAGAACGCTGTCCTTTTCTCCAAGGATTTGTTCAGTGGATTTCTTCCTATTTAATTGGATGCTGGTGGCTTTCTTTCATTTTCTTTTCTTCCCATCCATCCATATCGTCTATCTTCTTTGATTGAACACAAGAGAAACGGATCCTTTCTCCTTTGCCTTCGACAAGTCAAACTTTTGCATAGCCTGTTGTAGGCTGCAACTACTGCCCCATGACCATGAGCGGCATCCTTTTATCACAGTGGATGTTTTTAGAATTTCTTTTTATTTGTTAATTTAAGAAATTTTCATTTGATCGTACTATCGTTTACATCGTATTCGTTTTTAACCAATACGATGTCACCTTTTCTTTTAATTAATCGAATGTTAGAATCATTACATTTGCAAACAAATAAATTTATGGTGAACCATTAGGCAGTTGAATTGTAACGGTCGTAAAATAGCGAGTAAAAAGAAGTGATGAGAGAGTTGGAACCTGGAACCCAAACAACAAACGATCCATGAGGTAAAGGATGATAATTGCTATCCCAATTCCGAAGGTGCAACTCGAAGAAATTGCCACAACCTATTGGACGTGGAATTTTACAAAGTTGATAGTAGAGAGTTGAAACTTGGGTTGGGCCAAACAAGCCTTTACCACTCCTGCTGCCTAACCTAACAATAGTTTGACTTTAGTTGTGGACCGTACACGAGCTCTTCTTGAATGCCTACAACGTAAAGGACTAGTTGATCTGTCAGGCTTCAGCATGCTCAAGAAACTCCGTTTTTATAGCTTTCCCTCCTCGTTTCATATGCCGCAACCAAGAATATCTTTTCATTTTTGAAAAGGGGGGAAGGGGATAATCTATCATATGTTTTTCATTTCACCAAACAAATCAATGATGACCGCACATCAGTGTAAGGACGGAAACAAAACTATGCAGCCTGGAATTAATGTTTTCGTTCTTGTAAAAACTGGTCTCTAAAGGTGAAGGAAACATCAGAAAGGTCATCATTTCATCTGTTGCAGCATTGGAAAGATGCCAGGATGTTAGGATCAGGCTTCAACCATAGGCTCAGGACCAGATTGCTCATTACGGGACCTATTTGACTGTCGTACAGAGTTGAAAAGGATGTCTTTGATAACCTAAAAGTATAAAATGGAAAAATATTAAGGATAAATGGTTAAAACTGAACGCCAGAATCAATTTATGGATGGACAAGTTTTCAGAATTAAAGTTAAGGATTTCTAAGAATCTGGAACAGCTAGTCACCTGTGACATTAAACCATGGACTTGCTCTACAGTTATCTTTGCACTATCTCTGGTAATCTTAGCAAGCTGCGACTCCTCCTGCAACTTATAAGTGGGTATGCACATTGCATTTATTGAGAGAAAAAAAATTATCCTATAAATAGCTTGAGTATACAAATAACAAAAATCATACTGACTTCCTTCTTTCGAGGGGGTCCTAATGGGCCAATGCGAGAGTGAGCCAATTGATTCTCTGCTTGCTCCAACTTTTCAGCTGCAAGATGGAACAATGTGATAAAATAAACGACCAAGAATTTGGTCACAATTTCATGTGCAAACAAGAAACTATATTATGTATGCAACAACATTTTCCTCTCAACTGAAAGAAGAGAAGAACAATTACCTAAATCTGAAATTTGTCCTGCAACATAATCTCCATTGCCCAAGAGAGGTGAAGAAGAAAGGGTATTTACCCAGTACTTATTCCATAACAGATCCAAGAGGTGACAGTCAAGAGAGGACTTGAAATAAGTGATATCCAATGCATAATACTGTAGAAAAACATACAACAAAAATTAATAAACAGTGAGATGACAAGCATTCTCGAAAAGAGCGTTAATTGAATTACATAATAACCTGTTTACAGTGCACACCAAAGTCTTCAATCTTATTCAGAGGAATGGTCTGATACTCAGAGATAGGGTCATCAGGAGGCTTATATCCTTCAGGGTATGTCCTGAAAGCTCCAATCTCAACTTTTCCAGCAGAAACAGTCCTTGTTGGATCAATGACAACTGCCAGGAAGGGCTCCTGAAATTGTTGGTTGAGCATTTGGGTTGAAACATCAATACCGGACAGCCAGCACCCGTACCCAGGATGAGAATGGTACCATCCAACAACGTTCTCCAATCGTCCAGCCTATGAAACAAACAGCATTATTCTTTAAGAGAAAAGATTTTCATAGACAACATTACAATGGTTTCTGACGGTGTTAGAAATCCAGAACATGAGATAAACTAACAAAAACAGCTATTACTGATACAAATATATAACAAGAAGGATATAAGTGAAACCCATTTAGTTCAACTCAAATACAAGGTTGGAGGAAAATTGAGGTTAATAACATTTTTCCTTCTAGTTGGTGCAAAACGGATGGGAAATAGCTCACAAGTGAAAGGATACTCATAAAAACACTCAAATATTAGGTTTTTCCGTTTCCATACATAATTATAAACTCTTCCGTTTGTCTTGGCTTGGCCTAAATAATTAATAATAGTAAGTCAATTACTGAGACTGAGCTAATCTAGGGCGTCATCAACATCAGCTTTAAAGCAAAACCATATACAAAAGGAAGAAAAATCCATGCTTTGGGGGAAAAAAAAGAAGATTAAAAAACACCTGCTTGTTGGTCTGGGAATAATCGACCATATACTCATAGGCATCAGCCTGAGCGTTAACCCTAGTCTCAGTCCCTTCAACAGGCAAAGCAAAGGCGTCCATGACAATGATGACGTCGCCGTCAGTCTTGCCTTGCATCAGCCCCATCACCTCTATGGTGCCACCAGATCGGGCGTGGACAACCATCTTAAGGAGAGCGAGGGCAGAGATCTTAACGCGCTTGAAGTAGTGGGGATCATTGGCCCAAGGCTTCTCTTGTTGAAACTTGGCTTGAGCCAACTCGTCGTAGTAGAAAATCGAGTCCGATGAACTGTCGGGTGTTTCCACTGCAAGGATATTATTCTCTAATTCCCATGTTTTCCGGGCTATTGCGGAATCCATTCTTGTACGTCCAACTCCGACTGAAGCACCGAAGGTGAAGGCTATACTTTTATATCAAGCACCGGAGAGGATAGACGAGGCGCGAGAGGGATCAAAAACCGTCGCCTCCCTAGGACTTTAGGCCCATTTCTCTCGGTTGGCCCAAAACTGTTCTACTGTTATTGGGCATGGCCTTTAATTGTTTTTTGCTCGAAAATATCGGCTCACTGATTGGATAATTTTCTTTTCATTATCCTGGTTCATCCAGAGTCAGAATTGAAATAAAAAATAGAAAATAACAAGTCATATGTAGTATAATATACAACTACATTTGCTACAAATATTACTACTTTGGTTTTAGTAATTATAATATTTTTATTGTAATGCATATAATTTTATATATTCATGTCTATAAAACTCCAAAATGTTTGTTGATATCATAGCATATATCATCGATCAAAAAACGGCTTTGTACAGAGCAAAAGAAAGTACAACAGCAACAAGAAAACCTGGTGCAAATCTAACGAGAAAGAGGCAAGGAAAAGTGATGCAGTTTGTAACGAAAACAGATGTTTTCAATGAACCCATAAATACTACAAATTGCTGTGGGTTTCCCTATAAGATGATAAAGACCAAAATACTGAATCACTTCCACTACGGTCACGATTTGTTTTACCATGATATTGATGCACAGAAACTACAAAAATCAATTCCTGATAACTTAATCTCCGCCATCTTGACAACTAAAAACAGGTTTAATACTACACATATCAATTTTTACAAATGGTCTGTCAAGCCATTATACTTCCCCTCGGCTAGTCTACAGGTCATTTTACAGTAAGCTACAGGCACGATATAGCATCATCTGCCCCGTCCCCTGCCTCTCCTGTTGTATCTGCTCACTTTCTTTCTCTGCTGCTTCTCGATACCACTGTTGCTTTTGCCTGCCAAGCTGCGATTTGAATTTGATGTATTCTGGTGTTGCGGGGAACCTTCATGCTGCAAGCTGGAACTGTGTTGAGAATCAGAGGCAACAGCATCAGTTTCATTTACCATTGGCACCTCAATGGAGGCCTCACTCAAAAGCTCACAGTTCTCCTCTTCTGCAACTCTAAATGCATTGTCATGTCCAGAACCAACTGCCTTGTCTTCCTCATTAATTGGTCTGTGATTTTGCTCTTTATCCAGTTCAGCAGACATACTAAAAAGAGGGAAAACTAATTAAACAAAAATTAATTAAAACAATACAAAACTAAACTATTGAGGTTAGCAGCTGTATTACTTGGATCCTGAAGAAGGGAACCCGTTGGCAGTAGATGCAGCGCCACCTACTCCAGCAACTTCATTTAATGTCAAACAGTTTTTATCTTCTACTTGTGAGTCTGCAGAATATGTTTAGGGGTGAAACAGGCTCATTAGAAACTAAGCATTAAACAACAGACCTTCTCCACCCCTCTCCTTCCTCTAAATGTTTCAAATAAACACCCAAACAATAAAAAAATTTTACAGCTGAGACTTCTCCCAGTTATTTTATCTTCCAATCATTCTATTTTGAATCATACAAACTGATAGATTTTACAGCTGCGAGCATTACTGGTGGGGTAATAGTCAGAGGGGTTAAGAAGAGTTAAAAAGGATAGTGACACGCCTCAGTAAGAACCTCACGAAGCATCAAGTAGAAAAACTCAAATAAGTAGCTTCTTACCCTGTACAATTCCTTCCCTAGTAGAGCTAAATGGTAGGATAGATCCGTTGGAGTCCTTTAAATGATCAACATCAGCAGCAACAACATCACTGTGACATAAATATATTAAAAGTTACAAGAAGAAAATGACCATTGATCTTGCCATAAAAGAGACGAGATTTCACAAGGGAATTTTTCAATATCACTGCTGACTTTTTTTTTTGGGGGGTGGGGGGTGGGGGAGGGGGAATGTGCGTTTAATGAGAATCATACCAACCTCTGTGATGCAGTCTTCATATATACTGTTGATTGAAGTCTCTGTCCCACGTCTAATGTCTCATCTGATCCCAGAACGCTCGCTTAGAAAACATTTTATGGAGGGAAAAGATTTATCATATTAAAAAGACTATATAAAAGAGGGGAAAAGATGGAATAAAGATTTATCATATGACAAAGACTATATAAAAGAGGGAAAAAGATGGAATAAAGTATGGCTGCAATTATCCACAGGGGAAAATGAAAATGCCTCAATCACATCTTTATTCATATGACAGACTATATAAAAGACGGAAAAAGATGGAATAAAGTATGGCTGCAATTATCCACAAGGGAAAATGAAAATGCCTCGACCACAAATTCATTTGATATAGAGAGTCTAAAAAATGAGAATACTTTTGCATTGAGCCACTGGGAGCCCTTGCAGAAAATCATAACCCATCAATCTTCCACAAATAGTACACCACATGGCTCTATTTACGTCCATGAATCAGTAATCATAATCCGTAAATAATACACCACATGGCTCTATTTATGTCCATGAATCAGTAATCTTAAATTCATGAATAACAGATCTGAACAGGAGGACTACCCCAGGTTTTCCTACTTTCACTCATAAACAATTCCAAAAGCATGAATGCAAAACCACGGCTAACTAGAAAATAACATAGTCAGGAAACTTAAAAACATCTAGTATTCAACTCACTGTCCGCAATTTTTCATGACAAAAAATTGATTTCACAAGGTAGGTTATACTTTAGGTGAAAGTTAGAATGCATGAATAATGAACATTTTCAAGTCTACTGATACTTGTCAACCTTTATTTATACCTCAGCATAAACCTAACTGAAGAACTTTAGGTGAACAGAATATGCATTTCTCTCAATGCTAAAATGATAATTGCAAGCCCCATCTACATCCCAAATTATTAATTGCCTTATACAAAGCAGATATGCACCACGCATAACAATTACAGATGTAGCTGTCTTCCCTCAAGTTAATCAAATAATGTTCATAAAGCAGCATATAGAGCCACTACGTTGATTTGAGGCAAAATTGACAATAAATGACAGACAGGCTGCAAGAATACCTCTTTTTTCCTCAATGATTTGAATGGCTTCCATAACCTTTGCAAGAAAAGAATAAAAATGTCAAAAACCATACTCCTTGATTAATAAAATGAATTATCAACATAAATCTACGCTATAAAAACAATGAAAAGATTTTGGTTATAATCTAAGGGCATAAATATCAGCATAACTATACAAGTAAAGACATTTTGACGTGCACTATGTAAGCTTCCTATTCCAATATTAAGATACCTGGTTTTGTTCACAACCAAGAGTAGCTGGGCTTGGTAAAGCATCATTATGAAATGCATCTTGCGTAATCTGTGAAACTGAAAGGACAAAGGAGGAGAGGCAATGTCTTTGATTATTACAACCTAGAAACTGAACAGACTAGCCAAATTTTGAAAATCAGGAAATTCTATATGATGACAAAAACTGCACCTGATTTTGCAGCCAAGTCTACGGTTGCATCTACTGGCTTTTTAAAGCTCTGTGGCTTATCTTCCTTAGCAGGTCCTAAGTTATCAGCAACTAAAGAATCAGGACTGCTTTTAAGTTCTAATGCAAATGAAGACCAGTCAGTTTTTGAGGATGATAGAGTTCTCAGCATTTCTTCCGTTGCTTTAGATCTCACTTTTCGTATTTCATCTTGGATGTTCCATGAGCCGGTGGCAGGAGAATCCCTTTTCCGCTGCATTCATGTTAAATATATTAGCTCCAAATTAAATCAAAACCAAGGGAAAAAGGCATTGCACACACAATCACACTTATACACACACCACATGCACATTACTCATACACAAGCATAAGTGCATTCATCTTTTCCAGTCCAGTAAAATAAGTTTCAATAACCTTCAGGTCAGAGAAAAATGCAATTTCTTTTCTGCTATGATAACAATTGAAAGAAAAAAAAAACTACAGGCTCATACACAAAAGCAATTGCAGAAATAACACAAAAGGATCAGCTGGAAACTTATATTATGTCCATCTATGATCAAGCCACATATTATATGACAAAGAAACATCAGACTTCTCACATGTATTTGAAATTTCTCTGATGGCACTATAACACATCTATTGATAACACTATAATATCATAGACAATTTAAAGAAAACCAGCAAAATTAACGCCCATAAGATACATATATACATTTTTATGTAAATTCATACATCCAAATAAGCATATAACAGCACCTTGGATAAGAACAAGGAATTGCCTCCAATTGAATAAGGTGTTTCTTCCTTAAAAAGTGGCAGCCCAGCTGGTAATGGAGATCTAAATTCAATATTTTTCGTAGAAGGTGATGCCCATGGAGGACGAGTTTGCATGTAAGACTTGGCCATGTCCACAGGTGACCCTGCTTCACCTTCAAAACCCTGCAGCAATAAAAACTTCCTGAATTAGAAATGGACATATTTTTCACTAACATAATATTCAGATGTCAACAATATTCTTCTGTAATTTTCTTTCAACAACAGTGATGTTTACATCAGTATTCCACTAAAAATTATGCAAAAAGGAAATGGCATCACTTTTCATCCTTGCCTTCACAAGTGTGAGTAAACTGTGAAACCAAACCACTGGCACAACTACCCATTATAAGAAATTGACATCTATAAGAATTTTTTCTAAAGTTAGGGAGACAAAAAATAGAACTTTGATATCCATTTATGGTTCATATATTCAAACTCATCCCTGTGATACATGTTAAGTATTTTTCTTTACTAGATCTTCCAACAAACTTCACAAGAAGCATGATTTATATAATATACATTTGTATTCTATACTAAATGAAAAGGGGTTAATTTGAGGTCTAGGAACCACAAACATCATACACACATATTAACATACATGTATCCAGAAAGGGAAGAAAAAAATACATGAAAAGACATCACCTTAAAAGTTTTACAAAAACAGAGGTAAAGCATAGTTCAATCTGCAAAGCAGAAAGAAGATGCCACAGAACCAAGGGGAAAAGAGGAAGAAAAAATAACATTCAGCATAAGTTATATGAGGCAAAGACATGAAAAGACATCAGCTTAAAAGTCATATGAAGACAGAGGTAGAGGAAACTCTGCAAAGCAGAAAGGAGATGGCACAGAATCAACCGGAGAAGACGAAAAAAAAGAATATTCAGCATAAGTTATTAAGAAATATGAGGTAAAGGGGGTTAATTCATATCAAATCACAGAGCTGTACTTGAGAAGCTAGCATCATTGATGAAACAGGCAGTATCATGGTGATAACTAACTAAAGCCCTTGTTATATACCCCTTTCCCAAGATAAAATTCCTATCTCATGACTTTTCACTTGTACTTTTTCCTTCTAAGAAAGTATTCACAAAGAAGCACAGTCCACAAGCATCATAGGAAAAAGAGTTACAAACATGTGTCAACGTAACAGAATTTACAGCAGAGTTCTCATGGTGCAATTCTGACTTAGTATTTGACCCTGACTTCTTCTCCTCTAACCATTTTCTAGCCTCCAAAACAGCTGTGCCGCAAAGATCATGAATTTCAACATCTGAAAAATAAGAAACACAATCAGTCAACTATGAGTGCTGAGAAGTTCATTCTTTAAATCTAGTGTCTCTCAAGTTTATGAAAGCCATGCTACTTCCACCTGTTCTCTTAGGCATTTCATTCGGTTTCCCAAGCCCCAAGTCTCTGATCGTTGGAGAATCTACAACTCTTGACTTGATAATATTTGTCAGTTTATCACACTCTTCCCTGGTTAAAATAGCACACATTCAAAACTTGAAGTCAAATTATGCTAAATGGCAGATATAAATGAAGGATAATCAGTTGAAGTTTGCCAAAGAATCAAATGCCATAAATATCATAATATGCATGCATTACTTGGTGTCAATCACATGGTTTATGAGCAGGACGCCTTATGGAGGAAGAAGAAAAGGATTAAAGTAGGCAAAAAGTTCAAATAAGCAAATAAGAAAATTAAGTTCCTCGTTACCTTGAGAAAGACTCCTGCATGAGAAGCTGCTCTATTAGACGCTTGGTTTCATTCTTTCCTGCAAAAGATTGGGGCTCTCTCTGATGCCCCACAAAGGAACAACTAAGGCATCCTCTAATATCATTACAATCATCACTAGCATCAAGAATGTCTACATGCTACCATGACAAGTAAGCAAAACAGGGAAAAAGAATATTATCTAATCAGCATCAAATTTACCAGTATCACCATTTAAAATTCTAAAAGAAAAATCCAAGTTCCTTTTGCAGCATGACGCAAAGCATAAAGGGAGGCATACTTACATCTTCTATTGCAAGAACCCCTTGAGATGAGACATCCTGATCATCATCGTTGTCATCAGTGTCATCTGCACCAAAAAATCATATGAACAAACATGATGCAGCTTGACTACCATACATACATTGCTTACTCGAGGAAACAGAACTTTTTCAGAAGCATAGACAGTGTAACAACATGGATCGTTTATCGCCCCCTATGTTAATCTGATTTTTTAGTCTCTATTTCTACCAAAAAGAAATATGCTTAACTATCCTTTAAAAGGTTAAGGCCCCTGTGAAAAAGGACAGGAAAGATAAAGAAAGCCTCAAGAATAAAATAAAAATGCGTAACATCCCTGAATACAAGTAGCCGTAAAGCAGTTGGCTTGCAAAGCAAATCACTTTGCAAAAGTGAAGCATAACACAATCAATACGAGTCCTAACGTTACTGCCTGCAGAATGTGGCCATAATCGACATGGTAGGCACCGTTTTTGTGTGGAATTGAACAGTTAGCAAAAAAGCTACATAATTTGATTGTAGAAATGCGTGATTCGAAATATCATTAAACTAATAGGAGAGAGGAAATAAATGGGAAAAATCGCACTCCGATAAATAAATGTAAAAGGGGGGTACATGGAACCTGAAGCGGAATTGCATTCTGAAGACGAAGAAGAGGAGGAGGAGGATTCAAAGCCGAGAACAGAGGCGAGCATCCTGCTGGCGCCAGTGAGAATCGTGCGGGTGGGAGAAAAAACGTGCCTGGAGATCCAAGTAGGGTTTTGCTGAGTTGAATTGAGCAATCGGGGGCGGTCGTAAGGCGTGTTGGGCAACAAGGTTCGCCTGGGGCGCACCATTTTGCCACCGGATCTGGCCTCTCGGCGTTGGCCAGCTCCTGAAATCGTGGCCATATCGAAGGATGAAAAGAGAGTGGTTCGTTAGTTACAATTCCAAACAGGATGCAATGTTTAGGGCTTTTTTTGCTACTATTATTTCTGTTATCCTTGAGCGGTTAATAGCCCGTAATTTATTGTACGACGTGTCCAAATTCAATTGGCCTATTTTTCCTCCTTTATTATTTTTTTTTGGCCTTTTCGGTCGGAATGGATCGTTAAGATTTAGGAATCTGTAAATCATGTCCAAAAAGGGAAAAAAACAAGAGGAGTCCTGACTGATAGATAATGGGTAAACAGCTGCATATACATACAGTCATATGCAAAATTAGTGTATTTATTTTATATAAAATAATAATAATTTGTGTATTTATATTATATTTTATGTGATAATAATATATTATAATTTGTATAAATATAAAAAATATAAATTTTATTTTTTAATTTAATTAACTTTAAATATAAAATTTTAAATTATATTATTTTCATATTTATTTCATATCATATCTCATTAGATTATAAGATATAATAAATTTCTTAAAATAAAACTGAAGAATAGATGGGCTTGCAAAGTTAAGGCCCAAGGCCAACCAACCATTAGAATCCAATCAATAGGGGTCATATCTTAATTTCAAATTTAGGGGCAGTAAACAAAATCCAACCCAAACGATTCGGGTCGATATTGGAAAGGAAGAAAAGGGCTTGATTACGCAAGCGAAGAGGTGGGAGTGAGATCATACATCATTTATCATACGCCGTCTCACCGACTACGAACCAGTGGGAGGCATCGTATAAAGCCTAATAGCCTCCACACAACAAACAGGATCTCCAAATCCGATATCGTGTCTTTTCGATTTTAAGTTGTTTTGTTGATCAAAAGAGGAAATGACGGGGCTAACCTGCAACGCGTGTAACAAAGAATTCGTTGACGATGCAGAACAGAAGCTCCATTACAAGTCTGATTGGCACCGCTACAATCTCAAGCGCAAGGTCTGTTCTCTTTTTCTTCTATTCTTTTTTTATAATTATTTCTTTATTATTTATGATTTTATTAACCCTAATTTTTTTATATTTGAGATGGTATTTATGAAATATCTTTGATTTTGTGATTTTTCCCTGTTTATTTCAATTCTAGGATGAAAATTCAAAACTGCATTAGTTTATTATAATAGAAAAAATTCTCTATTTTTTTACATTAAAAATAGAAATACTGTAATTAGAATTCAATTTTATTATGCAAATTCAAAGATGCATGAGCAGTTGATTCTAGTTATTTAAAAGTTTCTTTTTTTTAAAATTTTGTTTTGTTCTGTGCGTTAAGTGCACAAATATTTCCAGCTTTTTAATCTATTCAAGGTTTGATGTTATGTTAAAGTTTGACATCTCTATGAATGATTGTCCGATCAATGGTTTCTCTTGAATAATTATGTGAGTTTTTATGGTAAAATTAAATCAGGTAGCTGGAGTTCCAGGAGTGACGGAAGCTCTATTTTTTGCTAGACAATCAGCAATTGCTCAAGAGAAAGATAAGCAGAATGAAACCCCCATGCTTTACAGTTGTGGTCTTTGTGGCAAGGGCTATCGAAGTTCCAAGGCTTATTCTCAGCATCTTAAGTCACGAACCCATGTCATGCGGGCTTCTCAAGGAACCAATAACCCTGAAGAGGAGAAGGCAATTATCAAGCCACTTCCTCGTCGTGCTGTAAACAAGCCTCCACAATCAAGGGATAGAAATGATGAGGAAAGCGAAGATGAGTGGGAGGAGGCTGATCCGGAAGAAGACTTGGTTGGTCAGGCTGCAGATTCTTTAACTGATCTGAATGTAAATGAACATGCAGCTGGTGATGAAATGGATACAGATGATGATGGTGATGAAGAAGAAGAGTTAGATCCGTGCTGTTGTTTTATGTGCGATCTAGACCATGATACCATTGAAAGTTGCATGGTTCACATGCACAAGTTACATGGTTTCTTCATTCCTGATGTTGAGTATTTGAAGGACCCAGAAGGCTTGCTCACCTACCTTGGCCTTAAGGTACCAAACGCTATGTGATTTTTGTTAGCTAAATATGTTATATACTAAATTTTGATCTGTTCATGCTCATGTTATGGTTTATTTATCTCAGGTTAAGAGGGATTTCATGTGTCTGTATTGTAATGAACGGTGCCATCCTTTCACTAGCTTGGAAGCTGTTAGGAAACATATGGTAGCCAAAGGTCATTGCAAGGTGCATTATGGTGATGATGATGAAGATGAGGAAGCAGAGTTGGAAGAATTCTATGATTATAGCTGCAGGTATGCTATTCTTCAATAATCATTTTATCTGATTTTATCTATTTTATATTAATTTGTTATTGGTCATTATTTTTTCTTTGAAAACAGCTATGTGGATGAGAGCGGGAAGCAGTTGGTTGCTGCTGGTGATATGGGCAACACTGTAGAACTTGGTAGTGGTTCAGAGCTTGTTATAACCAGAAGATCAGATCAGGGCATAATGACTAAAACGCTTGGTTCCCGAGAATACTTGCGCTATTATCGCCAGAAGCCTCGCCCATCACCTGCTAATAACATGGCCATTACAGCTGCCTTGGCCTCAAGGTCTATTTTCACTCTTATCAAGTCTTTTGGACCATCTGTGATAGCAACTGCAACCGCAACCCCTTCCCCTCCCCCCCCCCCTCCCTTTTCTCACCAAATGAAATGGATTGAAATCCTTTAATTTTCCCCCCGTGTTTTCAAACAACAATTATCACAAAACTATAATCATATTTTAACGGGGAATTCTGTATTAATTTTCAGGTACAGGAGTATGGGCTTAGCAACCGTGCAGTCAAGAGAGCAAATAGTGAGAATGAAGGTGATGAAAGCAATGAATAGGTCTGGTGTGGAGGCAATGCGAACAAAAGTTGGCATGAAGAATAATGTCATTCGAAACTTGCCTAAGAATGTCCCATATTAGCCAGTCACTCTCAGCACATTGGACTGTCTGTTTCGGCATTATTGTATTTCTAGGAAACTACACTTTCTAGTTGTTTATGCATCTCAATTTGCATTGTCTGAGAATTATAAGCCAAAACTGGTTGAAAGTACTCACAGGATTTCCAATTGGTTGATTTGCTTAAGCGTAATCGTTTGTTTTCTTGTGAAGTGATTGGAAAGAGAAATTTTGACAAAAGAAACGAAAAGAAAGACTTTCAGAGTAGAAGAAATGGATATATATGAATTAGAACGTATTATCCTTTACATCTCCAATACTAAAAGTTGTTCTCTTTCTTGTTTGGTTCTGTGCTGTCAATGTTCTCTTGAAAGCACACCCTAAACACATCATTCAATTGAATCTAATATTATTTGACTTGCATCCATGACCGTTACAACAATAAATACTACTACTTCCAAAAGATTTTATGAACATGTTTTATGTTCAATTTTACGTTGCCCATTTCTTGAAAATCGTTTCTTTTGATTTGAAAATCATTTCTTGGTTAAATGAAATGTCTATGAAAACTGATCCCAATGTGCTCATAAACATATAAAATTCTAATGTTTTAAATTCAAGTCTAGCCAGAAGAACATTCAATCACAAGCATAACAAGTTCCAAAGGTATATTTTTTTACATCTTTTAAAATCTAAAACTATATGCTGCAGCAAGTAGCTATTGCTTCCCATTTCTACCGTATCAATCCTTAGCTTCACTTCTTCTTGGTTGCTGCTAGCAAAAATTGAGAGAATGCATGAATCAATGATTGAAACTAGAATAGTCGAAATATCACTCGTAAGTCCTAAAAAACAAGTCATGCCTCAACCTCTACAGAAACCAAGGCTTTACTTGGTAGCAATGATGGAAAAAAGTGAGGACGAAAATCTTATTAATTTAATGATTAAGCTCTAATGTAAGAAAGTGGCTATTAATTTTTTAACCATTAGATTAAAAAGTTCTCTTTCCTTAACTCTTTCCATCCTTCCTAACAAGCACAGCCTAAGACCAAAAGCATTATCACAAATATCAGTGAAAACTGAAGATAAGCTCATCAACATTTGGCTTTCCAAAGTAAAACCTCCATAAAAGGAAACGCAGGAGCTCTGAACAGTACCTACCTAATTATCATAGAAACGGGAACGGCGTCTTCGAGAACTGTGAAAATCATGAAAAAAATTGATAAAGGAAAAATAAATAACATAAACATAAACTGCTGTCATTTAATTATAACAAACTAAACATGTCAATGACACAACTGCAACCATTTTTATACCTTTCACTGCTCAATTTACTCTTGGAGGATGGTGTTGGAGATGAAATAAATAAATTATTCATATTATAGCCTAAGGATACAATAGAGAATTTGGACTGTTTGGTGCAGTCACCGCTCACCAACAGCAATTATACATGGGAAATCAAGCTAGTTGTATAGCTTGCCGCTGCACCAAACACAATTGTGATACTGAAAGAAACTCTTTCATCTTTATCATACTCATTGCATCACAAATTTGGTTCATTCCAAACTTCTATTTGGAAGTCAGACTGATTCATTAGGAATATGACCAAGCCCATCAACACAAGCAATTCTAATCAAACAACCATCTCATTAATTATCTAAAAAGTTTGTCTTTATGATATTTTCAGGGGAGACTCAAATGATTTCACAAATAACTATCTAGGTAGAAAACCGATAAATCAAAAAATGGACCGCGAGATGCCAACATAAAGCAACTGTTTTTCGGTGATACCCATTACAATATCATAATTGTGAAAACAATAGGTAAAGCTAGAGTTGAATAGAACAACAGAACATCAAAGAAAAGAGAATTGTGAAAAGAAAAAAAATCACTGACCTCCAATAGCTGGAGCTAGCTCTTGAGGGGGCACTTGTGCTCACAAATTCATCATCAGTCTCATCTACTCTATATTCTGCATATTCTACAGAAGTCACTGAACCCTCATCAGAGTTTGATGAAGCATAACTAGGGCGGCGACTTCCCCTCCTAGTACCAGTGACTCTTGATCTCCTTCTGTTTCTAGAATTCCTGAAGTTATCAAACATCTGATACAAAATACAAGAGGTCCACCAGTTACCTTCGTCACCAGGGAAGTCCTCAAATTCATCTCCAGATTCATCTTCGCCATATTCAATTACATAATCTCCAAGAACCACCCCACGTGGGACTTCAGAATGTATAGTGCTCAAAACATCTATTATCTCAGAGGACTGCTGAAAATTTTCCCAATCAAGCTGCCGAGCAGGATCAATTCTTGAAGGCCGTGCATGAGGGTGCTCCAACTGAGCATGTTTCTGTAGTTCCAAGTAGTTTCCAGCAAATGTGCATTGTTCCTCCTCACAACAACGCTTCTTCTCATCTAGAAATAGACGAGCATTATCAACAACTATCCATCCAGTGACTTCCCCTCTACATAAGGGACAAGTTGGCCTGCAGTTGTCTTCAGGTACTGTTAGCTGAATGTTTGTTATAGAAATTGTATCAGATTTTGAAGGGGACGACATCCCATATGCATTTTTGAATCGGTCCAAACAATTTGAATGCAAGTGGTCTGTATCACACACAAAAGGATGGCAGCCTTTCTCGTAAGATGAGCATTGGAGGAGTACACCATTGTGAGGGAAATCCAAACATATAGGACAAATCACATCATCCCAGTTGGTATTCAACTGAACATCCTCCATGTAAGAAGTTGGGTTGGTGCCCTCTTTCATAAAAAGGTTCAGAGGCTATAAAGAGACAATTTGAATAATATTCTACACGCACATGGCATGCACCTGCCTCATACAAGAAATTTAGATTTATATTAAAAAAAAAAAAGGAAAGAACTTCTTGGACAAACCAACCAAGCTTCAAGGTGTCCAACAAGCAGAATCAACCATTGATCTACAATAAGATGCCAACTTAAAAGCTGCACATAGCAGAAGGAAACTGTAAGTTGCAGTTATTAACATATTCCTAAGGTCATTGGCAAGTGGCAACAGTTTAATCATGCCGAAAATTCAAATTCAACAAAAGAATAGCATGGAAAGAGCATTATAGCTATCAAATAATTTTGAAGTTGAAGGTTAAGTACAATCTTAGGACCGATCAACCTATCAGATGCCTCCAATAGCACGGAACTGATCTCCAAACAGAGTGATGAAGTCATATCCAGATTGACAATGGTGATGATATTATTACTATTATTCATAATTTGAAAATAAAAGGAAGTAGAATGATTGAACTCTGACGCCATAATTGTTAATAACGAAATACTAATATGACCAAAAAAAAAAAAAACAAAACAAAACAAAAGATAGAATAGACAATCACGAAAATGATTAAAAAAAAAAATCAAAACAACCAGATTCATCACCGTATCCAAAGTCCTAAACACTAACCAAAATGATCAATTGGGTATTCAGCAAAAGGAAAAAAATTTGAGAAAGATTACATCAAAATTGGTAGTATTAACAGAATAAAAAGAAATGAACAATCATGGGTAGCAGGTTAAACGAATAAAAACTTAGAAAATCAATCAAATATAAAAGCTGTCTACTGAGCATATTTAAAGAAAAAATAAAAACAAAAAGAAGAAAAAAGAGGAGAATTGACAAAATAGGGTTGGGGGCTTACCTTAGATGTGTTTGTTGAGAAGCGAAAGTAAAGAGAAAAAAATTATTGAGAATTTTACAAGACAAAGAAAGAGACTTTGCTCTTCTCATCTCTCTCTCTCTCTTTCTTTTTTCTTTGTAATTGTTGTGTTGTTGATAGAATGGAGAAATTCCCTCCTATTGATTTTGTTTTTTTGCAGTAGTAGGTAGCTTTTTTCTTTTTTTTTTTTACGAAAGCAGGTAATCTCCTGCTGGTCTTTCATTATATATATATATGAAAAATTATCAAATATATTAGAGTAAATTTTTTTAATTTTATATAAAAAATTATTGAATGTATTAATAATAAAATTTTGAAATTTTAATAAGTAAAATTAAGATAATAATATATGTTTTTAATATATATTTTATAAATTAAAAAAATTAATATAGACCATCGTTTTTAACTCTATTTATGAAGATAAAAATCTTCGCTATTAATGTTTCAAATATTTTATATGTATAATTTTTTTAGATTAATTTTCCATTTCGGAAAGCGAAGGAGTTATTGACTAATTGCCGTTGGGATAAAAAGGGCAAGCTACTAGCCTACGACTAATGCATACACACTTTCCTTTTCAATCACTTGACGTAATTGCCCCTTTCCATTGACGACCACCACCTTCTTCTTTCACCTTGTCATTTAGACACGTTAGGAAAGAACCAAGAATTACTATTTTTTTTTTCATTATAAAAACCCAAAACTGCCAATCTGAATTTGAAAAGCAAACGTGAAGGATGTGCCGTACTCATATAGACTATCCTTGGTTTACACAATTGCACTTTGCCTGATTTTATATCTCTCAAAGTCAAACCCATTAAAGTTCTTTACGAGTGTAGTAAAGTTTGCTTCGAGGGGGATTCATCCCAAACTGCCAATACAAAACCGAAGAAATTTACCATCATGAATTATAATAATAATTACGTTCAAGTTTCAATGACTGTCTGATTTTGAATAAGTTGGATTTGGATTTATGAGCGAAGAAAATTGTGTTTTGACTTGGAACGGAAAACGCAAGCTGAAGCCGCTTTTACACTCCATTTTAAAGCTGATGTAATCTCTTTTGAGTTTAGACATGTTTTGTAACCAAGTCCTAGACAGTTCAGGTTGGTATATCTGGTTACCTATAGCAACTGCTTTCAGGATGATTTTTTTTACTTGAAGCTATCAAAATTTAAATTAAAAATCCATCATTCTTACAACAAATTACGCAGCCGTTGACTCGTTTGATTTCAAGAAGATTTACATATTTCTAAGTGGATTAGACCTTTCTAAGCCTTATCCTATGTATAAAGAATCAATCGATTTAATTGTAGAACCACTACCAGAAATGGTACAGACTACAGCTTAAATCTGTCTCTACAACACACATGGAATAGACATTTAGATAGGCCGCACAAAAGAAATGCCTTTAGACGTTTTAAAAGCACCTTCATATTGTTCACGTGAATCTTGAATTAGTACAGAAATTCCTCTCTTACCAAGGGATTCATCCACCAAGACAGGAGTCTAATCGTTGAAAGCTGCTCAGGTATGCGTATGAACACACTATGAAAACTATTACTGCTCCCCAACTATTCGGGTCACGATACCCACAGCAACCGTTCTTCCTAATGTTCTAAGAAACACCCTTCCAAGGGCTTTGCATTTTGAAAACTCTTCAATGCAAACTGGTTCATGCAAAACCACCTGAAAGTAGAAAACAAACTGAGGTTAAACCAAATTTGATTGCAATTATCAGGCCAATAACTCAAATAAGCCAGCAACTAGCAACAGCAACAATATTATCCTCCTGACTTGCCTCAACAACTGCACTCTGCTTAGCAACAATGCAGCGGGGTGCCTTCTTTGTGACTTTCCCTGTCTTTGAATCAAGCAATGATGATATCCTTGCAACTCTTGCAGCTTCCTTTGCATGGTGTACATGAAACTCCAACTGATTATTCCATTCAAATTATTAGATTGTTTAGTTAAACCAAAATGTTTCAGACAAAAGCTACAAAATGCAAAGAGGAAGCTTGCCTGAGAACCGATTAAAATTGGGGTTGCACCATCCAAAACAAGCACCTTCAACTCCAAATGTTTTGCAAATGCAACTGGAAAATCAGGATGACATAACACACCACCAGCCATCACATGATTTCCATCTATTCCATGCAGGCTGACAGCTACATTGTCTCCAGCTCTTGCAATTGAACAAGCTTGGGAATTACGCTCTAACGAACGCACAGTTGCTATATCTGCAGATGGCATAACTAAAACCTACAACCACACAACGAACTCACTGTTAAGGATGATATACATGTTATTCTATCTATATCACTGGGTACCAAAAACAGACTTTGGGACAGGAAATATTAATCAAAGGCAGCAAGCCAAGATAGGAAAATGATTCCTAACAACTCTAGCAGTACTTTTAATAGGAGGTAACATATTATCCCCACAAAATGGCATACCTTTATTCCACTTCGAACAGCTCCAGCCTCCAACTTGCCACAGGCAGACACCTGCCCCTGTGAAGATGATTTTATAACATCGCATATAGGCATAAGTAAAGGCTTTGAAAAATCTCTAGTTGGAGGTTGGAAGGAATCAATTGCATCTAATAGATAAGGTCCATGATACCTGCATTAAAATTAACAAATCAATTCTACAATATCTGCATGTTCATGGGAATTCTGACAAATATTTCTCCAGAGTGCAGTATCACTTCTAAGTGATGATAAAATTTAGTTACATAATTAGCTAAGAACTCCACAACATAAATATGTATCTTATATAATGAAAATCACCAAGATACATCTTGTAGTTTAAAGTCGAACCTGGCTCACATGTTTAACCTAAACGAAGGTTTTAATCAGTGAACAAGATGTGGCCTTTCAATGAGATAAATGCAACAGACACATAAAATGATAAAATCATATGTTTACTGCAATAGGAACGCGACAAGGGCCTTCGCTCTTCATCAATAGCACTAAGGGCAGACCATATCTCCTGCCTCATGCAATCAAGATAATAGGCCAACAGAAAGGATGACAGGAATTAAGAAACAAATAAATTCAACTATAGACTTGGAAGTGATGGTCAAATTTCTCAGGACAGATACATCTAACGAAAGCAGGGTGGGGCTTAGAAATAAATTGTCAATCAGAATTTGACAAAGGCTTAGCCAAGTCTAGATTTAGTGTCACTTATACCAGGCAAAGCCACAATTCAGCAGTCAACTAATATCATTTCCTACAAACATTTAGCTACAATATTTTCTTCCCCACAAGTTTTAATTAGGATCTTTTAAGACTACTTTTGCTCTTTTTCGTAGTCAATAGAGACTGTACAACATCTGAATTCCAAAAGTATGGTAACTTCAAATACATGCAAGAAGAAACTCACCAAGATAGACGAACATCAGAAGGTGCAACCACTAAATTCTGATTTTCAACAGCACTCAGTGGAATCCATGAGACGGAGGAATCCTTAAAGCCACAAGAGCGAAGAAATGGCCCTAGCTGTGATTTTATCAAATCAAATCGATCCTTAGAATAGTCTACAGCATCCATCTTGTTAACTACAACTATAATTTGATCAACACCAAAACTTCTGATAAGTTGTGCGTGCTCCCTTGTCTGTCCCTTTGTGCCATCCATACCAGCTTCAAATGAACCAATAGAGGCATCTATGACAAGAATCGCAGCATCAGCTTGTGTTGCCCCAGTTATCATATTTGGAACAAAATCTTTGTGCCCTGGGGAGTCAAGTATGACGACATGATATCTTTTAGAATCAAAATAAGCCACCGCCACATTCATAGTGATTCCCCTTTCCCTTTCTTCGGCACTCTCATCCAATGCCCAAGCATAAGCAAAGGATCCTTTTCCCTGATTGAAAATAAACACAAAAATAATCAGATTATGGACTTGTATTCACATTTACACTCAAAGAAAATAGTCCTGAAATTACCTGCAATTTGGACTCCTTTTCATATTTGTGCATTTCTTTTTGCGATATTCGTCCCAAAAGGTGAAGCAGTCTACCAGACAGCGTTGATTTTCCAGAATCAACATGCCCAACCTAAGACATTTGAAGAGTTATATCATCATTAGTTAATTACCATGTTAAGATAAAAAAGATGAAAATATAATAACACCTAAACTTTTAGGATCATTAGACCCAAACTTAAAATGTAACTTACAATTGCAAGATTTAGTTGAGTCAGTGAATCTTCTGCTTTTTCAGGCAGCATCCACTTTTCAGGTTTATACTGTGCTCGTGAATTTGCTCTTCCAAGGCTTATATCATTTGAGTGCCCAGATTTAGCAGCCAAAGACATGTTTTTCAGATTAAGAGTATGTGCCTCACCTCCATGCCTTGAAGAGCTGCTATCACCCACCTTATCACTTTTTTCTTTTGGCATCAATGATGATGAGCTTTGACCTCTAGATCGCATATTAACTGCATCACTGCTTTCATCCACATTATCAAGCCTGCCTTTTGGCATTGATGAAGAAGAGTTATCTGCAGTTTTGGAACTTGATGGTGCCCTGACTTCTAAATTCTTCAAAAAGATGACCTCATCCACTCTATTGTGCTTGTCTTTTGCTGTTGAGTCATATGAGCCATCTGACCCTTCAGTACTTGATTGCAGTTTAACTGCCTCATTCTTCCCAACCACTCTTGAGGGAATTCTGGAAGATTTTAAGTCAAAATTGTTGGCTGCAAGTGAATGACAGCATAGAAATAAGTAAGACTAAACTTCAACTCCGTAAAAAGAACAAGTTTTCCACAAGATCCATTCACTCTAGGTCTATTTTTGAGATTTTGAACTTTAATGTATAAAAGTACTCTTAGAACACTAAAACTAACATGTATTTCATAAAAAGAAACCAGCATCTATTTATAATGCAGAGAGATATAGTTTCAATGTGATCCTGATTCAAGGCAGCACTACAAAGGTATTAGTGACTTGCTGTATCTTACATGAATTCATTCTAATAACAAAACTGTGTAGAGCTCAAATTAAATGGTTCACAGTAATGACAAGAACACAATTGAACTAGTGAAAAACAACAATCCTTTAGTTCCTTTAATGCCTAAACAGAGCAACAATTAGGGAATAATTTCAACATATCTGATTGTGATAGCTAAAGAAATACCTTTTGAATGCAGTTTTGAGGAATGCAATCCATTAGAAACCACGTCATCAGGAGATGGAACATCAAACTTAAAAGGGGCTGTATCATTAATACATGTATGGTTAGAATATATGATGGCATGATACATCTAGCACTATCTTTCAGAAGTAAAGCAGTAAACTGACTCCCAAAGACAGCATCCAGCAGAAGAAATAAAAATAAGGAATTTTTACCAACAAAATGTTTCTACTGTTTGGGACAATGTATTCTCAACTTAAAGTAACACTTGTGATAGATATCCATTTCCTGCTTCAAAATATGTCCAGACCTATATTAATACGGGAATGGGTAGGAGAACTATAAGCTTTATGGAATTCATGAAATTGTCCTTGGTTATTCCCAAGCAGATGGAAGTTATAGCCCTCTTTCACCATAAAATCATCATTCTCTTGTCGAGAATCTACAACTTTTTTAGACATCTGATGCGGCAGTGATGCAAAAAGAGACTTGGCCATAATAGATACTCCAGAATCTTTGTTTACGTCATCAACTGCAGGAAAGAGATCTAATCTATAAAAGGTCCCACCAATATAAAAAGGAACCTATGAAACAAAGAAACTTAATATATATTGGACATCCAAATATTCACAAGTTATCAGTTTGACAATCTTCTAAAGAAAATGGAACCATGTTCATCCAGATTTAACTAGGAAGTGAAAAGAGAAACCAGGAGACAGAGGTGAACGAAAGAGAAAAAAGAATGGTTATATCACATAGAATAAGAACAAAGAGTAGCTCATTCTCCCAAACTAGATGATATAAATAGCAACATCAATAGGTTAATTGCAACTGACACACCTGTTCTCTTCTCATCATAGGTGCCGTTGTTGACCAAGGGACCGCGAAGAACCCCACAAATATCGCATGATGACATGGTTTCCTCATTATCATAAGTACAAATGGAGCAACGCCATACACCATGTTTGATAGTGTCTTGCTCAGAAGGTGCTTTCACTGTTATAGGGAACAAATAGCATTAAGTCAGTAAGCAGAATGATACATGTATAAGTTCTGATAACCATTTTGCTCCCTATCAAATTGGACTAGTCATCTTTGAGAGCCTTTTAGTGAAATGTCCAGCAAACCAACAGAAAGAGCAAGGTCACCTAATTGGTATCTCATCACAAAGCTAAGACGTCACAAGAAAAAAGGGAAAAGAAAAAAAGATCCACTCACCATTTTCTTCTACTTCATAGCCATAGTCGTAGTCATCATAGTCATCATAGTCATTATAACCATCATCATCATAATCAACTCCATAGTTAACTTTTCGAGGCATAGTTCTAGCACCCGATAAACAAACAGATACTTCAATCAAGGATGGAACAAGATCACAAGCAGAATTTCAAGTCTAAGCTAAGGAAAGAGTCACAAAAGCTAAATAATTGCAAGAATTCATGGGGAAACCAAATCAACCTTTACTTGATACTAAGATCAAAGACTTACGAGCTGAAGGGGCAACCTTAACCTAAAAATGAAAGCGTTGATAACTGCAAATAGCCATAGTAGAATGAGTTTGATTCTGACACGAAGTTTATTGTCTCCCCCACATCGATGAAGCCTGAATCTGCACTACACAACGACCCAAAATGCCATTCAGTTCACAGGGTATATACTCTCTTTCACTTTTGTTTTGACCCAATTATTTCAGATTTCAAAAAAGCTTCCTCCCCTTCTCCTTGTACTTATTAGAACCCCAAAAGGAAAAATTAAAAATGAAAACTCAACAGTGTTTCGGTTTCTTAGTTTAGTTAGTGCAAGTTTTTTCTCAGCAATCAAACAAAGTTGGTTGGCAAAAAAAATTGAGAGTTTTGAAAAAAATCGCTTTGCTTATTTGTTTTGGAAGAATCGCAATCAATTATAATTTTCACGGAATTTAACCCCAATATTATACTATTGGTATTTAGTAAAACAAAATGAAATTGAAAAACGATTTATTTTATTTATATAAAAGAAAAGCAAGAAGGAAGCAAACAAAGTACCTGAGGAAGATGGAAGATCTCTGGATGTGAGCAATGCTGTGATGCAAAATGGGTTTCCTTACCTGCAAAGATTTTTGTTTTCGGAATTTTTTTCTTTTTGATAATTTGTTTTGGGATACGGGAATAAAATAAAGAATTGAATTTCACTGTTACTTCGATTAATTATAAGGAGCACTAGTGAATAATAATTCTCCAATAGAAAAATATTTGCGAGGAAAGGGCCTACTTTTATGCTTCTTCAAAATGGGCCGGACTCTTGACTTCCTTTTTTTTTTTTTTCCTTTTAAGTTTGGACCTTGCCATGAAATTAATGTTTTGAAGACACCATGAAATAAATATATACTAAGACTGTTAAAGTTTTGGACCTTATCCCGCTTTGGTCCGTTTGTTTTACAAATATTTATAAAAGAAGTAAGTTTTAAAATATAATGATAATTTTAGTATTAATATATTTGAAAACATTTTTATATGTTTTTCTTATGTGTTGTTGTGAGAGTAAATTTTTTATAAATAATTTTTATTTTTTAAAAATATTTATTTTTGTTGTATCTTAATATATTCTAATATTAATACAATTATATGATTAAATATATTAAAGGTATTTTTATTTTATAAAATGTAATGATTCATAAACTATATAATATAAATTTATTTGGAAGTACAACTGATAATTTTATTCAAAAAAATAATAATTTTTAGATTTGGCAATTTGTTCTTGAGAAATTTGTGGCTATTTTTTGTGAATTTTTAGTTGAATTTTGTTTAGCATATCTTTCAATTGATTTTTATTTTAATTATATTTTTATGTCTTGATTATGTCATTTTGGTTTGATATGTTGGTAAGTCACGAGCTGTTCATATAGATTTCTCTAAATTGTATTTAACGCATATATTTTTATTTTAAATATATATAAATATGATAAAATAATATAATACTAAGTATATTCTTGCGCGTTGCTGCTGTTCATGGTATATTTTGTATAATTTTTTAAAACAATATGTATAACCTATTTGGGATAGTTATTAATGTATACAGTATAATAAAAATATATGTTATAAGTTATGAAAAAAACTTTAACAGTTCAATTCATTGTACTATAATAATGTAAAAATAATATTTCAACATGATTGTTCTGTTAAAGTTTGAAACTCTATGTAAAATACATGAAAAATTATTTCATATAATTCTTCAATATAATAGTTATATCAAAGTTTGGAATTCTATGTAAAATAAATTGTGATTTCATGTATGAAAACCTAGTCTATGTAAAATAAATAAATCATTGATGACTGCATTTGCATCATGGTTGAGGCATGCATTTTTATCATGTTTGTAACATTTAAATCATTATATGATATTTGCATTTGTTCATTAAGTGAGAATCTGGATTGTTGTATTTGCATTATTAGAAGACATTTGCATTATTATCATGACATATATATTTGTTGTGAGAAAATATTTGATTTTGAATCCTTTAACGAGAAAAATCTTTCATTATGAGATTTTTTTTTACAATAACAAATTTTCAAACTTTTAAAGTTATGGAACATTTGTTTAAAGGACTTTTCAAATAAGAATATTTAAAATTTTAGATGCAAAACAAAAAAAAAATTTCGAATAAGAATATTTAAAATTTTGAATGTGAAATAAAGTTTTGAAAAATAACTTTTGAAACTTTGGGTGCGAATATTTAAAATTTTTTCAAATGTGAAATCCTAAAATTTTTCAAATGAAAATCTTTGAAATTTTAATTATGAAATATTAAAGTTTTTAAATAGGAAATTTTTAAAATTTTTATATGAATTTCTAGGTTTTTCAAAGGAAAATCTTTAACTTTTGGATATAAAACTTTAATAATTTCAAATGAGAATCTTTAAATTCTGTAGGTGAACTTTGAAATCTTTTATCAAAATTTGTGAAATTTTCAAATGTGAAGTTTTAAAATTTTTTATGTGAATCACTAACAAAAATATTTTGAATGTGAATCTTTGTCTTATGAATTTTTGTTTTGTGATTTTTCTATTATTGTGAACCTGAAAATTCTTACAAATATTCTATTCTTGTGACCATAAATTTATATGTTATAACATTCTTTATACATTTTTAAATTGTTCGATTGTGAAACTTTAGCTCCAATAGAAATTTTTAAATTTTAATTTGATTTAATTTTTTGTTTAATTTTACTTATTTTAGAAAGTAAGAAAAAAAAGTCAAAGTAAAAAAAAAAGAGGGAAAGTTTTGAAAACTCAAAATCGTGTAAATTTTTTATTTGATTCTTTTGGGCTTAATTTATGCAATCACTACAAAATCATATCAAATCACACACAGAATTAGTTTGATTTATTTTTCAGAATTAAAGGGGATTGAATTCCTATAAAGAACCAAACAGACACAAAAATGAAAAAAATAAGCAATTGGACATAAAAAATATTATAGGTTTTTTAGTCTGGAATTTGGATTTATAATTTTGGTTTTCTGGGGGTTTTATTTTTAATTTTGAATTGATCCTAAATTTTGGGTTTTTCTAGCAAAATTTCGGGTTTATTTAAGTTTTTAAAGTTTTATGGAATTGAGGTTAAATTTATTGTTTATTTGTAATTTTCTAGGCTTTGGGAAATTATTTGGGTTTTGATTTGAAATGCTAAGAATTTTTTTGGTATTTTGAAAATTTTTTATTTTTTGAGAAACTGTTAAATTTTATAATTGAATGTTTAAATTTTTCGACCAAGGTCATAGCAGTTGGATTCTGCAAATTTAAGGCATTTTTTTTATAAATTTTGAACTTTTTGGCAATTAGTTGAATTTTCTCGGCATTGAAATTTGGAAATATGGTTGGTGTTTTTATCTAATTAAATCCCTTAATAAATTTTTATAGAGAAACAAGAGGAAACAACTTTAGAGAGAGAGAACCAATGGCTTATGAAAAAAACTAAAAAAAAATTTGCTTATATAATAAAGCCAAACAATGTTGTTTTATGGAGGGCATGATTTGCATCCTAACCTTCAGAGACTCGTGCGTCAATCCATTTTCAGACCATACCTAATCGCAGGTTTTCTCTTTTATATTTTTTAAATTGTCGCTATTTAATTATTTGATTATTGTTTTATTTCCATTTCTTTATTTTTTTATTTTTATGTGTTTTATTGTTATTATTTTAATTGATAATTTTTAAGAAGAATGAGGAAAAGAAAAAGAAAGTTGGTAATATTTATGATTTTTTATTTATATTTTTACATGATTATTAATTAATTGCATGAAATATTATATCATTATTTCATGGTATTATTTGCATGATATTTTTTGTTAATTGTAATTGATTTTTTTAAATTAAAAAAAGTTTTTCAATCCTATTAAACTATTGAATGATTTAAATATTGAATTAAGTCTTATTAAATTATTTGATGATTTAATGGATTTTTTTTTTTAAATCCTATCAACAGATTGAAAGATAATTTTTGACATAAAATTTTACAACATATTAAAAGATATTTATGAAAATAAATTGTTTTACAAACAAATAAAATTTTAATCAAATCAACAGATTGAAAGATAAATTTCGATAAAAAATTTTACCAACATATTAAAAAAATTTATGAAAATAAGTTTTTTTAAAATAAATATAATGATGAAACATTTTTAGAGTGAGATAATTTTTATGTGAAAAAATTATATTTAATTGCTATCAAACTATTTGAGTAGTTTTAAAATTTTCATAATTAAATTATTTGATAAAATTATAAAAAAGACTTCATAACTTTGATAATTTAAAATAAACTCGTACCATATTTTGGACGAGCATTACAAAGATGTTATAACATTCAACATACGTAATTATATTTTTGAACTTAAAATATGATTTCATAGATTAAAATCAATATTTTAAAGTTACCCAAATTAAGTTTGAAATTTATCTTTAAATATGACAGATTCAGTTAGATAATCAATCACATATAAACAAAAAATATTTATAACGACTCTTAAAATTTATATTTAGCGATAGCTCAATAAATTTATATGTTATAACATATGTCATTAAATAATAATAATAATCAAATTCCATTCAAAAGTTGTGAAAACTCATAAAAACAAAAATAATTGATTTATATATATTAATTTTAAGTTTAAATTATAATTATAATTAAATATTATATTTATAAATAAAATTTTTGATTATATTAAATCAAACTCACACACACAATATAACTTAAACTTATAATTTAAAAATTTAAGATCTCTTAATTTCCATTGAATCAAAGTTTCATTGGCTACTCTTCCATATAGGTAGTTAATCAAGTTGCACAAAAATTAACTAACGCTTACTAATGATCGTTAACATGTTCTGATTAATTTGAAACGAGGATTAAAATTCAAGGGAGGATGACTAATTTATTTTTCCATTGTCACAATCGTATTTGACTCTAGAATATGATAACTATAAAGTTTTAATTAATTTATAAATTTGAAATAACAGTAAATAAAAATCTTATAAAAATTGTCTATGATTTTAATGGAAAAGTAAAGGCCTTGTTTAATTAAATTTTTATTAAACGAACAAGAAAAATACCATTAATATCTTATTTAATTTTATTTTCCTTTCAGTTTCTTTGATAAAAATTTTTAAAGAAGATATGTGGGAATGGATTTTAATCCAACCGTCCCCCTCCTCTTGCAACTTACAAGATTCACAACAACATTTGGATGAAATGATTTTAAAAGACTACGAATATATATACTATAGCTTTAACTTTTAATTTACGTCCCATTTATATATTAAATAGGAAGTATCTATAAAAATATGAAATATATAATCTTATTAATCATTAGATTTTATGAATTTTAATCAATTTGACTATACTAGTAGCAATAATATTTAATTTTGGACTTAATTTAAATAATTCGTTCATCTATTTAAGTATGGGGTAAGTATGTGGCAGTTCAAATGATATATGTGCTTGTTAAATTCTTAAAAATTGTGAATTTTACAAGAACTTTTAAAGATGCAAGATAAAAAAATTAAGCGCCTAATTTTTTTTTTTTGAAATATCTTTAAAAAAGTGCATAATATTTTTTAAACAAATTAAATAGATAAAATTAAGAGCATAATACATTTATCTTATAAATTAAATATAAATTGAATGGATAAAAATTTGGGTCAAAGAAAAAAAAAGTGTACTAGAAAATATTAGCAAGGGAGGACAATAGCAGAAGCGACGAGAACTCGCGAACGGAAAGTGGCGATATTTTGAAAATACCGGTGGGATCTACTTTCCAGTTGTCGCACTTTTCGGAGCCAAGAATCAGGCGGGAAATCCAAACTAATTGGCGGGAAAGTGGAAACGGGTAAATCTCTCCTATATAGTAGTATTAATTATACTGTGCAAATTACAATATCATTTCAACCCTCTATTATTTCTTTACTTCTAGGGTTCCAAATATGTTCTCAAGCAGCCAGATCGACGCCTCCGTCTTCTCCGGTGGCGGATTCATGCCCTCTCAGCCTTCTCAGTTGGCTAACTCAACTCCGTCTCCTGCAAGAGTCAGTCTTCTCTCTTTCCTCTTTATATGCCTTAATCTTTTCTATGTTCTGTTTGGCTGCCGAGAATGTCTAGGCCCAGGGAAATAACATAAATCTAGTAAAGGAATTTCGAAATTTTGTGTTTGTTATGGTTGATCTAATTTCCTTTTTTTGTTTGGGGGTTAGCAGAGCCGTGATACACAGGGGTTGATATCAGTAACGGTGAAGCAGATAAGTGAAGCTTCTCAATCTGGTGATGAGAAATCCAATTTCGTAATTGACGGTGTTGATGTTACCAATGTACCATTTCTTAAATCCTTTGACTGATTCCATTTTTATTTGTTTGTTTTGTATGAAAAGAATCATAGTGTTATATTATATCTTGGCACTATAGTTCCAAATCTCTGTAGCTTAGTTTTGAAGAGATTTCAAATAAAGCACTCAACTATTTGATTAATTCAAATCTTTCTTTTTTTGCGTGCTTTGCTGGTTCAGGTTAAGGTGGTTGGCACGGTATTTAACAAAAATGTAAGGTCCTCTGATATTCGTTTCCACCTTGATGATGGAACTGGCCGAGTTGAATGTATAAGATGGTGATGCACCGGTTTCCATTTAGATTCAATGAATTATGAATATCATAATATTGTTTAGAGTTTCCATAGTACTAGCAGCCTAGTAGGTGTTTTTTTGTTTAATCACTACAGGTAAAGTCAATGTTGAACTTAGAGAAGCAATTTTGATTTGAAACCTGAATCTATTTCCTTTAAATGGATTTTTGTTTCAATCAGGGTTACTGAAAATCTTGATACAAGAGAAATGGATGCATTGGAGTAAGTTCTGTCCTTCATTTAATTCAATTAAGCATTATTTGTTTTGTGTTTTGAATGTCATTAGATGCTTTCACATCAATGTTGTCTTCTTACACTCTTTACTTTCAATTTGCAATAGAGATGGAACTTATGTTCGTGTCAATGGGCACTTGCAAAGTTTTCAAGGCAAGAAGCAATTAAGTGCCTTCTCAGTGAGGTAAGGTTCTAGAAATAAATTTTATGGTTTTCCAATCTGTTAGTGCATTTGGGATCTCTTTTTATTGTTATCAAATTCAACAATTTGTTGATAGTGTGTGCTCTGTTCTTAAATCTGATCATATTAAGAATTCCTATGCCATCTGGTTCATATCATGTGGCATGGTTTCCATTGGCTCATGTACATGTGTTTGTTAGGTTCGCTTTATTTAAACTCCCAATGAATCAAGCATTTGAACCAAAACTAGGATAGAAATTATTGTTTCATGCTGCTTAGAACATTGGTTGGTGTTTCATTTGCCTGCTTTGGTTTGGTGTTGCAATAAGAAATTGGACTCTGAAAGAGCCTACAGTCTGAGAATGTGTCAATGTACACCTTAGTTGCATTTTAGCGTGGATTCTGGTGCAAATAAAGCACTAACGAGCTTCTTTTGCTGTGTCTCTCTTTTTTCTCTCTTTACTTCTGCCATTTGCTATCTAATTGTCTAACTAACCTGTAATCAATACACTAGCTTGGATATGTAATGTTGACTGCTATTTGATTTCTATTTAATATGCTTCTGTGAATCCATGAGTGTAAGCATTAGTGTCATATAGTTTCTTTGGTTTTCTTGTAATTCTCAGGCCGGTGACAAATTTTGATGAAGTTACTTGCCACTTTATTGAGTGCATACATCAGCATCTGCAGCATTCCAAAGTACAGGTATTTGTGTCTGAAACTGATAAAAATTGCATATTAAAGTGCTTATTCATTTGATTCATTCTCTTGGAGATGAGTATTGCTTTTGATTGGTGTTTTCCTTGTGCTAATTGTAGTCACAGGGTGGTGGTTTGTCCCAGCCACAGATGGCAGATTCATCATTGAACACACCTGTCCGGGGTGCATCAAATGGATACCAGCCAGCTTTGATGAATGATGTACGAAATCAAAATATGATAGTTTATTGTTTTCTTTTGAGATCGTTTTTTTTTTTCTGTTTTCATTAAATATCATGTTTTCTTTTTCCAGCTCTCAATTCAATATAGCGCTGATGGACTCAAAGGTTTTGATAAGTTGGTCCTGAACTATCTGCAGCAACCTTCAAACATGTAAGTGAACTTAAACTTTGTGTTTTCCCCTAGGGAGGAAACTGGGCTTCAAAATATTTTGATTAGGAAAACCTGTATTCACATTTAGTGTGACAATGTCCTTGTCCTTTACTGGATTTTCTTTGCGTTTAGATTTTAGCATCATTAGGTGTTGAAGTATCCAAGAGACATTCATCAAATTCATTCACATGCTCTTGCTTACAGCTTTAGTCTTGGTGCTAATTTTTCTAATTTGATTTGACTGGTTGTTACTTACAGTGGTCGAGAAATGGGGGTACATGTAGATGAACTTTCGCAACAGTTGAAAGCTCCCATGGAGAAGATCAAGTATCTTTCGTGAATATACTTTTATGCATTTTATTTATTTATTTATTTATATTCTTGTATTTATTCATTTTCCTTCTCTTCTATAATAGGGATGCCATTGAGTTTCTTGAAAAGGAAGGTCTGGTGTACTCCTCCATTGATGATTATCACTACAAGGCTGTAGAAGGTTGCTAAGTTTCTGAGCATATAGCTCAGCTTGGTATTGGGTGCTTGGCTCTGTAATGACTGATTATGTATGTTATTTATTTCCCTCGTTCTTCTTGATAGAGCATGTATATATTGGTTTGGATGCTGCAATCTAGGGATACTGTTGAAATGTGATATATAGCATGTCGAAATATTGTTTACCTTTTCGATGCTATATTTGTAATTGAGGTGTTACTAATTTCAGTATGTTCTCAGAGATAGTGTTATGCTAAGCAACCGTCTGTTGTGATAGATTTTATCAATGATCTAATGGTGTTAGCATTTAGCAGTAAGGAATTCTTGTGTAAAAGGGAGCGACGATATGGATAAAAATGCTGACTGTTTCTATGGCGATAATGTCAGATTGCCATTAGCTTAACAGGCATTCGTTACTGTTACTTTTATAGATGCCTTTTTTCTATCTACTCATTACCTTCAAAGTTGCTTGTTATATCTTTCACTATGGATTTGTTTGGAGTTTCATAAAAAATGGATATTGTAAAAAATTATTTCATACAAAAAAAAAGAGGAAAATGGTATAACTATGAATCTATGATAAATCTAGACAACATAGGTGGGGAAGGGTTTAAGTTTGAATCTTCTACTGCTTTTTAAGATTCTATTTGGATTGAATTACGGCCATGTTATAGTGGAATGGAGTAATTTTTTAGTGTAATTGCATTACAGTTGAATGTTTGGATTATATAGTTGCGTTTTAATTGTGCTTATGTGGCATCGGTGATATGTGAAGTGAATGTTTCACTAGTAAAAAAGTGGCAGTGAGCCACCACGCTTAATTTTGGACAATTTTATTTTCACTAATATTTTAAAGTGAATTTATTCTTATATATACAATTTTATTAAAATTAAAATAATTATGAGTTAATTTAAAAATAATAATTTTGTTTCTACTCATTATTTTTTATATATTTGTACCCTTAAGTAATTAAATTTTTAATATTTTAAATGTTAAATTAAATTAAAAATGTATTAAAATAAAATTTTAATTTACTATTAGAGTAATATTTTTAAAGATTATTTTTATTTTTACATCGTCATTGTTATGTTTATATTTAAATATTTATTTTATTATTGAATTTAATATCATAATTATAATATTTAATTTTATTATTATAATAATTAATTTTATTATTATTATTTTATAAAAATTAATTTTATCATCCATTCAAATGAATTATAAACCAAAACAATTTTTTATAAATTTGTGAAATATGGTGGTGAGTATTTACGTAAACGTTTTTGGAGGTGTAATGTGGTGTCACTAATCGGGGATTCTAAAGCCATGGAAAACAACGTATTTTACATATACAACCATTTGTCCTTGCTGGTCAACGAGAAAGTCCCACGTGCACTCACACCTCAGACGGCAGGGACCTTGGTGAAATGACATGTTCACTTGGAACACGTGGCATCAATTCGTGGCTTTGTATGAAGTCTGGCAATCTACTTCACGTGATACCCCATCTGCTCTTCCCTCTCCCTCGGGACCTCTTTGCCTTTGGGATGGTCTCCGGCCCCGCTCCATCCAAATCGAGGGATACTTGTTAGATTCTAATTCTATGATTGGATAACTCCCCCTTTCTCTCTCTCTCTCTCAAATCTTACAGTCTGGCTTTTGTCTCTACTTCTTTCCCTTTCATTCAAATTACTATGACCGGAGGAGGACAAGTGACTTTGTGCTAATACTTCATAGTTCATACTATAATATATTTATATATATGATTTTAAATATTTTTCGTCATTTTCATTCAAAGAACAAGTCATAGCTGGATCATCAATACAACTCTCTAAATATCTCAAGTGATCTCATAATGTATTTTTATCTGATTGTTCTCTTTAAAACTGATGGGGAATCATTCATATATATATATATTGTTTAATCTAGTGGTGAGTTTTTTGGATTGATTCTCAACTTACAGGCATTTCTTCTTAAATTTGCCTTGGCAAGAACAACCCTTAACTCCACATAATACAAATACGCGATTCAACAATTCCGGAATAATTGGTAAGAGGTTAGATTTGGTCTGCTAGCTGATGATTGTATTATTAGAGTTTATGGAACCTTAATTGTTTGATGTGATTTGCAAGCGAATTGTGACAAATCATCATTCTCGGAATCATTGAGGCTGACACTTTTTAGTTTGTCCTGTTTCCTTTACAAAACAACAGTTGAAGCAAATCCCAGCAGGCTGACATGGCAGAAAGTGATGGGGGAGTTTTGATTGATGGTAAAATCTCAAACTGCTTTAAAGTTCCATGCATGACTTTATTATTATAAAACATCAAATATTTACATACAGACGTGAAACACAGCAATTCATCATACAAACCTAGTACAAACACTAGTCCACTTTATTGTAGCAAGCAAATTAATAAGGTCTCCAGAGACCAGAGACCTGCTTAAAACCCTAGTGGAACCAATCCTAGTCATACACTGCACCATAACAATGCCCTAAAAGATGAGATTGAAGTCATCTCAGAAAAGGGGGAAAAATAGAGTCAAGAAAAGGATCACACAAGCACTGCAGAGAGAGGTTACTTATGATATCTATATATATATATGTATATTATATAGATAGATAGGTAGATAGATGGATAGATAGATAGATAGATAGATAGATAGATAGATAGCATGGAATATATATGGAGGAAACAGAGAGCTAGCTAGCTGTAGGCTGTATATATAGAGCTCTCAGTACTCTCACATATCCCGTACGTGGAAGACATTGGGATTCTTAACGACTATGTCATACATGTGAACGGAGCAGAACCTGGAGAAGTCCCTAGGAAGTGAAATCAGATCGATGGAAGATTGCTTGTGGAATTGGAAGAGGTCAGGATCACCCCCGTCGTACCTCTCCCAGCCTAAACCTCTCAAAATATGCTCCAGGAAAGTGTAGGATGATACAACCTCACCAGATGGTAAGTGTACCAATTCCCGTCTCCGGGGACTGGTTTCAAGGCGATATACACCATTGTTAAACACCCAAACTCCAGCCATTTTTTTGTTTTGTTTTCGATGCTTTGTTGTTTGTTTGTTGAGGGGAAATGAAGAAAAGGTGTTGAGAGACTGTTGTTGGTGTTGTTGAGGGAAGGATGAGGGTAGGGGGTATATATATACGTGTGCTGACCCGACACATAAAAACAAAAGGAAAATACTCTTAGGAAAGAGGAGTGGGATATAATAAAAATAAACAATGTTGAAAAGGAAAAAGAAGGGTCGATGATAGGGCATGTTTGGTTTTGGTAGAGAATCTAGATATTGTGGGACCCCATGGTTTTAAATATGAGGGCACATGGATGCCTTTAGGATGTAATTTAGGGCACACGTACCATCCGTGTGCATGTGGGTCTGGAAAGAACCTTTTTATTTTTTTGTATATGTTAGTTTTCCTCTGCTTTTAAAATTGGGAATCTTGTGACACCGTTTTATAAGGGACTCCGAAATAATTTCAAAAGTGAATCAATCGAAAGGTGTGTTTGCAATTGAAGCCAGCCCACTTACATCACGAGATGTCCACGTGAACAGAGCCACATCACAATATTGTCATTGGATATGGATTGGGGAGACACTCATGTTTTTCACGAATTTATAATTGACTAATTATCCGTCTATAAATATTATATATTGTTAATAAATTATATAATATGCTTTATAAAATAAATTAATTTTAAAATTATTTTTTTATAATATATATATATATATATAAACACATTTATAATGCGTGAAAGTATAATTCTTCTTATTTCCCTACTAATCTAATAAATTCTCAGTGCGTTTGGTGACTAACAGCAGGCATCTGTCTCCCTGGGTTTTCTTTGTGGCTTACTTGTCATTCGCTATCATCAATTGAATGAAACCATAAAGGCGGCTTTAGTCCTTTCTTGCTCCTTTTTCTTCTTTTATCCTTATATTTGTTTATAATGCATCACCCCTTGCTTAGCTACCAAAATTAACATAATTAATGTGTAATACTCCCTTAAACTCCTATTATTTGTCATGTATTAATTTTTACAAACTTAAAAATTTTTTTATTTAATGAATTGAAGATTAAAAATTAAAAACTTCATAATTTTTAATGTCAAAAAGTTTAAAAAATTAATTTTAAAATATAAAAAAATAAGAGTTTTAATTGTTTTAAAAAAATAAGACATAATTTTTAAATATCTCAAAAAGAAAAAAAAAAAAAAGAAACAGGAGGAGTAATAATTAATTATGTCTTAAATTAAGTAAATTTGTATAGTCAACACTTATATATTTATAGATAAAGATGAATCTATTTAGATCAGTGTAAATGTTATTTCTTCTATCTTTAGATTTTAATCAAAATAATTAAATATTTTAAACCTTATTTATTTTAATTCAAAAATAAAAAAATGTGATACTTATATTAATATAAGTGAATCCTTTCTCTCTACATATGCATATTATAAAAGGAGATTCATTTGCAATATATAATCACATGAAACCCAAACTCACGGCTACGATTACTTGTGCATTACATAACTATCTCTTCAGTGAAAAAATTACTTCCTCTTACTAGAAATCACTGTACAAAAGTCTATTATTAACTTATCCAATCATATCCAAAACATGTGATTTAGTTGTCCTTTGAGTGTGTTACGTGGAGACTAATTAGGTTGATTTGATTGTCAATTATTGGAACGTTTAGTAACTTATGATTTGATAGTAATTCATAATTAGAATTTTTCTTAAAGGATTTTCGACACCACTAAAACCTGATTAAAAAAAAAAAACTTTGATATCAAAGTCAAATCGAAAATCATTGAAGCCTAAAGTACTAAGGTGAAAGAGAATTGAGACCAAAACATTAGGTTTCAGTCGTCTTTATCACATTAGAAAATATTTTATCTTCTCTGCTAGCTAATAGCCTATTCTGTGTATATTTTTAGTTGGTAAAAATGCAACATAACCCACATGGCATCACATGGGCTAAATGGTCCTCACCCCTTACCCGTCTAGTCAAATCTATCATTAGCATGAGCTTTGTCACCGGATATTCGTCAAACGTTACTGCAAATTAATCCTGATCCTGTCTTGCCTTGGCTACAAAATGAGCTCAGCTTTTCGTCCTCTTCAACCCCTTGCATTTGGACATTCTTTCTTTGAGATCAAATCCAATTATTTTGGAAGATATTTTCTTTCATATATATATATAAATATGCTTATTAGTCTAATAATTTGGAACATTATTGGATGGATATATATATGTATTTGGGTGGTTTTTGTCGTTTGCTTCTCCGATCAATTTTCCTTGTAGAAGAGTCTTTCGGATTTCGAAATGTTTAAGTCAGCGGTGGTCCTTTCCCAACATTTTTGTACACAAGTCTAATTATAAAGAAAGATGAAGAGTGGATGGATGGTGCCCTCGGTCTTGCCGAGTAAGGTAGGGATTGTGCATGCCTTTAGACATCCAAAGGAAGAACCACAGAGACACATGGGGCTGCCTTTGCCTTTGCCTTTTCTTGTGTTCCTCTTTAAGCATGCTCCATGTCCTAAATGAAACAGACCCCTCCATTACCCCATGATTTGGTCAGTCCTATAGCTATGTGGTGCCAAATCACTAATTCCTCATTCGACGCCCACGAACTGCATGCCAACGTCTTTTGTTTCCGTTTTGGATTAAGATTTCCAACTTTTAGCTTCTCGTCTATCCTAGAATCAAACCACGTATCTTCCAGCTGTCTACCAATCACAAATAATTTCTTGACACTTCCACTCATCTCTTTGCCATTGCATTGGGGCATGGTTATCTCTATAATGTCCATCGCTCAGCTCTTGAAACCTGCAAATGCATTTCATTTATTATTATTATTTTTTAATGAGCAGTAGTATCAGTACTAGTAGCGTGCATAGTATATATATAGGGATTTGTACATGACATTACAGCTTACAGCTTGATCAGTAATTTGATGGTCAGGTTGGAAGGAACTTAATTGGGTGAATGTGATGATGATGATGATAAAAGGTGCTTAGTTGCATCCAGATTCGATACCCTGCCACATGTCATTTTCCCATATCCCCACTAGGATTCCAAGGATTTTATTTTTCATCTGATCATACAGGTGTCTGGATTTCTGAACACATCATCCTCTTTGACGTGATTAATACAATCCCATCTGCTGCTTCTGCTTGAATTTTCTCTTTTTTTTTTTCATTAATTGCAGAATGTCCTAGTAAACGGTTTTAAGATTTTTCTTTCCTCCAAACTAGTTGGTATATCAAGTTTGGTGGGACATGCAAATTCATCCTGCACCACAAACCTTATCTCCAATATGCTTTACCCTTTATCCTTATGCAATAAGAATAAGGCAAAAGGCATGCAGCCCTCCACTAGAATGCATAATTATCATCTCGTAAAAACCCAAACTCTCCTAGCAACAACCACATTTAAAAAAAAAAAAGTTAAAAAGTAGACAAGGATTTGCAAAACTCCCAATCCTTTTCCAATTCCCACCCCCCTACCCTAATCATTAATTAATGCATGCAATAAGTTTGGATAGTTGAAAGTGCATTAATTATTTTAAAGGGCGAGGGCATATGTACTGATCAGTAGTATTATAATGCAAAAACAAAGCAAGATTAGGTGTCTAATCCAAAAGTAAGTAAAGGGCATGAGATATTGGGGTATAACCTGTATTAGTAACCACAACCCAGCCGACAATCTAAGCTTAGTTATGAGAGTAAAGGAATAATGCAAAAGGTAAAGCGAAAGAGAAAATTAAAAATAAATAAATAAATAAATAAATATAGTTCCACAACATGAGTTTGGATGTTGATAAGTAAATTTATTTGGTGATTCCATATTTATTCCCTCTCAAAATTAGGGAACAACAAATACATAAACAGTTTTCAAAGTGAATATTGGAATCTTTTCTTTTATAAATAACATGATTTAAAAGAACCTAAGCATCCCTCCCTAGCTTTTGAGTGAACTTGAAAACACTGGATGACATATATATATATATATAAATATAAAATTAAAATGTAAGGAGGCCGCCATTTACCGGCCATAAGCGTTAATTAATTAATTAATTAGCTAGTTAGGGAATATGATTAATTTAAATTGTAGTACGTAGTGATGATGATCCCGTGGAATTAATGAGTGAATGGAGTAATTGGGCATATAATATACCTTTTTGTGTAATGATTTGACATTGAGCTAATTAGGTTATTGCTTAATGAAAAAGGATATTATATACAAGGCCAACGCTACTATATATACTATATATCAATATAATAGCGTTCATTCCATTCCATTCCATGAAGTTAACAAATGCCTCTATATATATTATATATAAAGCCATAGGTATGGCTAGGCATTGCAAAAAACCCTAGGTTTTTGTGCACATTGGTCGCATCCCCGTTGGCCTTTGGAAATCACTCACAACACAAGAAACTCTCTTTCTACAAGCCTGCTAGCTACTATAGGATAGACCGAAGCCCAATATTAATTACCTCTTCAGGCCCCAAATTCTGTTGTTCTTGGCTTCACTCAATGAAACCATTGCCTTTAGGCCCTCTGTCTGCCCTATCTCATTAAATTCATATTCTTTCTTATTTTAAGTGGTCTTTCAGCTCTTATAAATTCTTTTTGTTTCATTTTATTTTTCTTTGCAGTTTTAATGATGACTTTCTAAATGAATTAAATTAATTTGATGCTCCAAAATTTTACAATCATATTTAATTGATTGTTACATATTTATTTACTAATTATAAACGAGAAAATCAAATCTACTTTTAATCTTAAAAAATAAAAATTCCTTTTTATTTAATCATTAGAGTCCCCTTTTACTTTAAGTTGTAGTGGTTTTTTTTTTTTTTCTTTAGAATTGCGTGAATGAAATTTATTTTATTTGAATGAATTACTATTTTGTTTGAAGTCAAATTAACAAAGCAGATTATAGATTTTAAATGATTTCAACACATTTATGAAATTTATTTATTTAATATTCCACACGGACTTTAAAATTTTTTAAGAGATTGCTTGACATATCTTATATCTATAAATATAAGAAAAGTTCTTATTTAAAAAGACTGAAAAACAAAGTTGTTTGGCTTTGAGTTGTTAATATTAATATTTATTTACATATGTAGTAAATGATTGGAAATTAAGAAACAGTGGGGTTTTGTATATAGAAGGGACGAGGGTTGAATTATACTTATACATGGGATAGGACGAATCCAACTGTTCCTTGCTATTAGCATGCATTGACCATTATCTTGCAGCTGTGTTATCGTTATTCTTGTTTTTGATGAATGATCAGCAATTGGTTTTCTCTACCAAAAACAAACTCCAAACTAACATTAATTTTACATATATATATATATATATATAGAGAGAGAGAGAGAGAGAGAGAGAGAGAGAGAGAGAGAGAGAGAGAGAGAGGAAACCTGATTGATCTGTCCAGTGAACAGCCATGTTCGATTACAACCATTAAAGAGAGGAATTCGCTCCCAACCTTCAAATGTAGGCTCCCCCAAACCCTATATAAGAGGAGGCATGAGAAACTCCTCCAGCAGGATTCCAGGCTTTGTTTTAACATCAGCTTTTCGCACAGAATTAATAGTTATGGCTACCGACGTCTCCCTCATCTTCATTGTTGCATTCTTCCTGGCCGTGTCCACCACGTCTACAGCTCTCAACATCACCGAGGTGCTTGGGCAATACCCTGAATATGGCACTTTCAACGACCTTCTTACCAAAACCAAGCTCGCTGAACAAATCAAGAATCGCCAAACCATTACCGTGCTAACCCTGGACAACGATTCCATCTCCTCCATCGCAAACAGGTCCATTGATCAACTCAAGAAGATCCTAATGAATCACATTATCCTTGACTACTTCGATACACTCAAGATCCAAAAGCTGGGAAAGAAGAGCGCCATTCTCACCACATTATATCAAACCACTGGTATGGCTATGGAACAACAAGGATTCTTAAACATTACCAGGATAGGCCCAGGTGATGTTGTGTTCGGTTCAGGCGTGAAGGGTGCACCACTGGTTTCTAAGCTCTTGGGGTCTGTGACTGCTCAGCCTTTCAATTTATCTGTGCTTCACGTCAGCACACCAATTGTTGCTCCTGGCTTTGGTGATCCCGTCCTTGCTCCTCCACCACCACCAGCTTCCAAGCCTGCCCCTGCTCCTAAGAAGGCTGGTGCCACTGCCCCCTCGGAGGTGGAGGAGGGCGATTATGACGGGGAAGCCCCAGAGAGTGCACCCTCCCCTGCACCAGCTGATGCTCCTCTGGCTGATGCTCCAACCAAGGGGAAGTCGCCCCCATCACCCGAAGATGCTGATGAAGAAGAAGCGGAAGCACCTGCTCCTTCCGCTTCCTCCAGAGTGGTCGATTCAAGCATAGCCGTTGTGGCGGTGATGTGCTTGGTCGTAAGCTTGGTAGCCTTCTAAGATATTATTAAGGATTTTATGACGTTGAGTGAGATATAATTTTTATCTTTATCTAAATTTGCAACGAAAAAGCTAGGGGCGGGCTTGAGTATTGATGAAAATTCAGTACTCACCCCCCAATGTTCAAAAGCCTAAACCTCTTATGATTGAAATGACAAGTAAAATTGTCAGTTCCGATTCTTTTACTCCTATTATCAAGTAATCTAATCCTGCTATAACATTTGATAAATGTGTGATATTCAAAAAATCCAATCGAACTTTGGATTTGGCTTTGATAAAAATATCCTTTCAATATTGCTAATCCCTATTTCCAAAACAAATATAAAAAATAAAAAAAAAGAACCTCAGAAGACCAAAATTAAACTATTAATCATTCAAATATATTTTGACACCTTAAACAAGAAGATGTGAAATCAAGAGGTTTTATTTGAAGGAAAACGTTCATGCAATTGCACAACGATAAACAAGAAAACAGAACTGTGAAGGATGCTTCGGAAGCAGTAACTCGAAATTCTTCAAAACATTAACAAAAGCAAAGGTCAAGTGAGTCATTTCAGTGGCCTACTTCTCCTTTGTTCTACAACCTGCCAATATAACTAATGTAATCTAAATCATTTTTTGACAGCATGAATGATCAAGAACAGAAGTTAATACACAAAATGAAAATTTCTTTACCAAGCCTTACTTTTGTAAGGCAAGTTAATCGGGTAAAACCACAAAATGCTGTCACCGTAACAATCAGAACATACTACTTCCAGTTCTATACACACATGGTCTCTTCATTTAATTTTGTCAATGATATCCGAGATCACCTTCTCCATGTCAAGGTCCTTCATTGGTTTAAATGGTCGCTTCATGTCCTGCAAAACAATTTGTAGAATTGCAGCAAACTTAATAAGAGGTTTGTACAATAATTTGCTGGAAATATCAGACATGAAATAATATACAATCAAATTCCTCCTCAATATAATGAACCTTTCTTTAGGAGAATAGAAAAACCAAATTTATTCTTGTCAAAGAAACAATGCCACTCATCATTAGTATAAAAAAAATACTAGGAATCAACAATATGTACATATTAATTACTAGAATTAGAGATGGTCTAGGTTCACTAACCTTACTACTGCAACAATTTTATTCATATCACATGCAAATAGTATCATGCACTGTTCTAAATCCGTAAAACATTAAAAAAATATAAAAACAAATATAAATCTTTCTTTCACAAAAGCCAACCAGTCTATTGTATCTGTTTTGTATCAACAACCTTGACATAACAGTCCATATATAATCATATCATCAACTAATCTGTATACAATTTTATTTGTTTCATAAATAAGATTTCTCTAGTTACTGATCACTTTCACAACTATGCATATATATTAAATGGAAGATAGGGAATGAATCTAGAAGGCCTACCCCAAAAAATGAGTATTGAAGGGTAATTTACAACCAAGATATTAAGTAAAATAAATTAACTGTTCATAAATACTGCAAGAAAAAGTTTTACCAGCAAACTTATGAACTTCTCGCCATCTTCCTCTCGTATTTCAAAGCAACCTCTTCTTGGCTGTTGGAAATTAGAAAAAAATTGAGAATAGATCAACCATGAAAGAGACATTCAACAGAAAAATCATTAACACAGGAAAAAAAAAACTTTTTTCCAGAAGGATCTTTATACCCAGAACAGAAAACAAAAGCACATGTAAAGCAAAGATAGCCAAAAATGAAAAAAATCATTAGACTACAAAAAATCATGATTAAGACATCTCTTTCTAACTAGAAAAACCAATTTAATTAACATATTGGTCCATCAAAGATACTTAGCCCTTTTAAGATAGATCGAGAATTGAAAGCAATATTGCACGCATTAACATAGAAATGTTTGAAGTTCAATAAAATTAAGCATTGAAAATAATACCTCAAGATATGGTTATAAATTAAGCCATAAATGCTCCAGTCTAACTTCACACATTATGTATGTAAGAATATGATTTCAATTTTAACCACACAACAAAAACAAATGGATCTTTACCTTGAAAGAAAAGGATCTTTGAATTTGGAGGGAATTAACCAAAATCAAATTCAAACATAAAGGAAGAGATTTAGTTCATCTTACATTATGAAAACCAATTGTCAGATAGTGAAAGCATCTACAACTTCAAGTCCTCCGAGTGAATATAAATCTAAGAACAGAGCTATATGAACTTTGCTTTTCAGAGCATGATAACAGAACCCTCTACTGTATGCTTAAACAGAGTTGAAATAGCACAATGTGAATGTCATTAAACAATAGGTAAGTACAATATGACAAATAAAAAACCATCCATTTTTTATTGAAAAAGACAAGGCATCTCAGGTTAAAGAAGAGAAAAAAAGGAATTGCATCCCTTTAATGGTGTCCACTGCAAACAAGATACCTGAGGTGTTAGTTAAACAAAGATTTGAAGAGCAAGTAAACTGGAGATAGTATTTGATGAGACTTCAATGTTAACCTTTTTAGGGTTGAGCAACACTTTGATGCCAGGGACACCTTTCTTCAAACCATCTCTTACTTGAAAGGCCCTTGTCTTGAATGAATTGCATTGATTGCTAGAGAAAAGGAATCATAAACAAAGGATGTCATACAGCAGAAAAAGAAAATATTTCAAGTTTGTGAGGACCCAAATTTCATTCAACCCAACCCATCAAAAGAGGACCATGTCTAATTACCTGAAAAAAAAGGGGAAAAGGGGTTGCTTTTATCACTCAAACACTTACTAATACATTTTATGTTCTTGTTACAAAATCCGATGGTGAACAACATTTTAGAAAATTTTTAAATACCCAAGTGGACGAAACCAAGTAAAATGGGCCAAAGTTATTAGTTGCAGAGAACATATTGTAGCAAAACCAACCACTATAATACTAGAAGTAAAGTTTAGAAACTTAATTTTTTTATTTGACATGTAATTTCATTGTTCCCAAAAGTTTACAGGCTACAGCCAACCTGTGGTTAGCTTGCGTGAGTACCAATTATGAACAAGAAGAACAATAAGGATTTAACATTAGCCAAAAGTTTGATAATCGTTGCAAAACCGTAAACCTAGAGTAATCCACGTTGATCATCGGAACAAGAAAAAAGTTTGCAACTTTACTAATGCAACTTGTCTTGTTTGTTTTTCTTCTTGCAAAACCCTTAAAATTTTGATCGTCCAGGAAAGAGAATCTGATTGCTCTTTACCCATCAGACTTCTTTAACAAAAATAAAAAGACTAATACTCTGCTACTTCGTGGAGTGATATTTTAAAAGGAAACGAAAAAAAAAAGAAAACCAACCAGTGTTCGACTACTACAGCCTTGTTGTGGGACCCATCGTTAGCGACGGTCAAATCCTCAGGTACAGCTTCTGCTTTGGCTCCATCCTCCTCCTGCTCCTCCACAGCCACAGCCTCAGCCTCCTTGACTTTCTCCTCAGATTCTTTATTCTCCTTGGCACTCGCTTTCGCCTTCGACCTGGCTTTTGGTTTCTCCTTGTTGGGCTGAGTCAACTCGGAAGAATTACCATCCGGCTGCCTTGTCATGCTCCGAGTCACCCTCTTAAACGTCTCTTGGCCTTGACGCTTCGCTTGCTCCTCGTCCCCGTCCATGTCCTTTCGCTTCCTGGGAGCCATTTCTCTCTTCCGCTTTCTACTTTGTTTTCTTGGGCTGTTGTTGTGGCTTGCTTTGCTTTTTGCCTATGACGCTCTCCGAAGCAGCAGCATATATATTTGGTGTTCCCGCGCTCTAATTCGGCCATGTATTTGAACGGACGACTGGGATCAGCTCACTGATTACTTAATCGATGATGCTGGCCCTTGATCCTTAATACTACGAGCGAACAGAGGAAGAGATGTCCGGACAACAATGGAAGGACAGGGAATGTGCCACGTGCTACAACTGCACTGCAGCATTGGCTTTTTTTTTTCTTTTTCAGCATTGGCAAATGAAAGAATTGTACATTTTTTTTCTTCCTTTTAACACTCTTTTTAGTTTGTAATTTATAGAAGCAAATAAAATTTGTCAAATGAAAGAATTTGTACATTTTTCTATTTCGAAATTTAATTCTTTCAAAAATAAAATACTTCTCAGCTCTTGGATTATCACTTTCTGTTGGTATTTAAAAAATTAAAAAAATTTACATTTTAAAATTTTTTTTTTACTATTAATGTAACAAATAATGATACGACGTTTATTAAATTTTTGACGCATTAATATTTTATTAAATATTTAAGTTACATCAATGAATTAATTGATAATGTTAATCTAAAATATCAAAATAAATAACAGAATATAAATTAAAATAATGAATTAATAAATTTATTTTTTTAAAGTATCAAGTTAACAAAAAAAAAATATAGAGATCAGATGAATATTTAATCCTTAAATTAAAAAAATTATTTTTTTTTTCACTTTTCATATGAAACATAATAAACTAATTTTTCTTCTTCAACATTTTTTCTTTTTCCTCTCCTTCCTATCAAATATAGCTTAAATCTTTGTTAGATCTCTTTGATGTGAAATTAGTTTAAGGATACACCTTTATTTGCTTAAATTTAATATTATCATCGTTTATCCGATTCAAAAAAATATTATTACCATTTAGTAATAGTTTTAGTTGTTTTTAACGTGCATACAGGATGAAATTTAAGTAGATATCTAAACTTTTTATTACAATTGGGTTAACATTACATTGGCAATAAATAATGCACATAACTAGAGATTTAATTTTACCAATAAAAAAAAGAGGAAGCAATTTAGAGAAGCATATAGATGAGAGGAGAAAAAGAAAAAAAAAAAAGCCAATGGAGGATCGTATTAATTAATACCCAATTTATGAAGAACATATCTTAATTAATGTGATGATTAATGAATAATTTAAAAAAAAAAAACAAAGAGTTGCCAGAACATTAAAACGTGAGCATGTGAACAATTTCAATATCAATGGATTCTGGCAAAACAAAACAGTATCTATCAATAGATATAATTTCAATATAAAATTACCATTCGGGAATTTCGTTTAAATAACAATGGGAAGCGTGGCTGAAAGAAATTGATCCCATTACACCGTAGTATAATTAGAGAAATGGATCATCAATCTGTCCAAGGTTTCTGGATAAAACTTTCTTGCGAATAAATAACAAGGTCGCTTCATTGTATTCCACAAGCATGGCCCAGTTATCACTCTCCTCTGCACCCGAAACCAAGAAACACGTGTTGTTTAATTACTATATTTACTTGTTCCAAACAAATAATGCAAACAAATAACTTTTACCTTTGGATCACTTGTGAAATGTATGCTGTCTTCCATGGACTGCAAAAACAGACCGAGTATCTTTAAGGCTATACCAAGCAACATTTGTGAACCCATCATTAATAAATAAACTCTATTAAAGACATTTGGGAAAGGAATGTATGACGTACCGTAAGGTTCTTGAGGAACTCAAATGTAATATCTTGAGCCCTAAATGATCTGGGATGCCACTTCCCCTCAGACCAATCAACATATGTTACTGATCTATTTGCGATTCCACCAGGATCAATCATCTGAAGTACAGAAAATAATTGGGTTAAGGTAGTTGATCTTTTTCTTTATTGTTTGTGTTGCTGGGGCAATAAGTAGGTTGGTTATATGTAATAAATAAGAATTAAAGGAAGTATTGATGCAGCCAGAAGAAACTACAAGTCCGATGTACCAACATTAAAAAAGGTTGGCAAGTAATGCTCGTCTGCATAGCAATTGCGTCCATCCATATTTGGCTGACACAACAACATGAGATGTATGTTAATAAAACATGTTATAATTTTCCAACAACCATCATATAATGGATTCGTGGATAGCATTGGAAGTTGGACAAATGAACTTATTATCCTCAGTTTACAACAGAAACTAATAGAAAAGTAAAATTCTAAGATCAGATTATTCATAAGACAAACAACACTGATTATAACTCTGACCGGCAGATTACCTTGCAGTAAAGCCTAAATTTTGTGTAATATAGGCTGTCAGCCATAACTATTATAGCATGCTGCCGCTTCATGGAGAACCACTGAAATAAGATATGAACCAAAACCAACTAAATGTATGAGAAACATCAGTGTCATGTTTTATCTTTGTTGCAAAAATACACCTCTGTTAGAAGGAGAATACATATTTAGCACCAAAACCTTACCGTGTCCTGCCAATCAACTGCCAAAAACACTGTTACAACTAACAAATCTTATACTTGGAGCCATTTCTTTGCTCAACATAATAAACTAAAAAAAAGTAGTAGATCAATATAATTTTTTTACAGGGGGGAATAGGACATTAGAACTGCACTAATCCAGGAAAAAAAATGCCACAGTTAATTACCTCTATTCTACTGGCAAAAACATAGGTAGCTATCTCAGAAACTGTTTGAGTAGCTTAAAATCAGAGATTTAAAAGTTGAATCAACTAACATGCCGTAAAATCTATAATCACAGAAAGACCTTACCGTTTAATTTATGCACAAAGCAGACTAAAGCCAAAAAGTAATTGTAAACAATTATCTTTTTTTATGAATGAATGCTGCTTTTACTTAGAAACAAGCAGAGGAATACAGGACAGCATCCTCACTGAAAAAAAAAATAACAATCAAGAGCACAGAATCCACAATGTGGTACACTTTATTATGTGAGATATAAAGAAGCCCCAATGGAGGATTCAGGATTCCTTAATATTTGCTGGTTTTCTATATATCAACTATCAACCTCAGTTAACTACACTTTCAATGATCATGAAATGAAGACAGAGTTGAAGTTTAGTTCCCAGCCTCTTTTCAACTAACCTCAGAATCAGATTTATGTCTATAACATGATCTGTAAACTATAAGTGAAAAAAACTTATTTATACTCCCAATTAGAGTTATCATATTCTGCTGTCAAACTCTTTAGTTATTATAGTGGCACACAAGAATAAAACTGATGTGATAATTCTGAAAAAATGCCAAGGCATATTTCTTTTTAACATTTTATAAGAAATGTCAAAGAAGCATAGTAATTTTTTTCCAACATGCCAACAGCTGTGCGAACTGTTGGTAGGGAATTGAACTCTTAGTTTCAGTGACTAGGGTTCAATCCCAGCAGTCTCCAGTACCAAAAAATTTTCAACATATCATCCACCATAGAACTAACTTTTAAAAGCTAAAGTGAGTATAAAAAGAGGTGCAAGTTCAATTGCACTTCAATCAATTTGCAGTCTTCAAGTATGCCCAGTTGAGAAAAAAGGGAGGTGGCTTGGCTCCTACTTTAAACAAGAAAATATTTCTAAATTACATTAGCAAGCAAGAAAGGAATAGCAATATCAATATCAATCAACAGGACTAATCTAAATGATGCCAACAGGAAAGACCGCGGCAATAGCCACACATATAAGAGTTTGAGAACATTCCAGCATAAGTTCTGACAAGAGAATTATGAACCACATTCCATTTTAGAAATGAAATACAAATATCATTTTTCTGTAATTGGTAAATAAGCTCAAAGCCATATTATTACAGCAAAAGGATTTACCTGTGAACCTTTTCGGAAATTGTTCTTTTCAACTTCGGGCATCATATGCTCCGAATACCTCCCAGTTCCATGCGGACCAAGATCCGTAAAACTGATGAGAGAGAGAGAGAGAGAGAGATCAAATGTGGGAAAATTAGTTTTTATATACTCTTAATATTAAAAAAAAATGAAGAGTGCATTCATACTAAGTTACATGACAGGATAAAAAAGGCTTTCAATGTTGCTTACCAGTCAATAAAGCTGACATTAGTGAGCATCAGATAGTTGTAGACATAGTCAAAGTTGTGTAGTGGTACGCAACTGTAGGATAAGGTTTAAAAAAGGGGAAAACTTTAGATAAATACCCATCATGATAATATTATGCATGAAATCTGATTCCTCAATTACCTTTCTGACAGCAACACAAAATGCTGGTTATCAGGGTCTAAAAGTGAATGCGCCAACAGTCTCCTCTCAGCATCAACCATGGAAATTTTTCCCCAAACCACCTGCATTTGATAGCTGTTTCTTAGGAGGCACTATATAAAGATATTCTAGCAGACATGTGATATTAAAGGAGGAAAAAGAAAAAAAAGAAAAACCGAAGGAATTCATCAAAATTTGGGAAACAAAAGGGGTCATCATCAAAACCAAAATTGCATGTGCTTGCCCATCCTTTAAAAGCTTCTTTTTAACTTCCCTGCACTTAAGAACCTTTTCAAGGCTTAAGTAGGTAGAAGATAAAAAAAAACATATAGGAGTTCCTCACATATATTTCAGCCAAATGGTAGGAATAGAAAAGAATCATGAATTTTGACTGAGAAATTAAGTTAACAATCCTCTTCCTTTCTCTACAGATTAGAGGCCGATAGCACCCTCTTAGAGTGAATTTCCATCATGAATCTCTCAACCCTTTGATGCAAACTGTGCTTCAGTAGCTTAATGTGATAATTATATACCTAACAAAATGCATAAAATGACTAATTCCACCTACTGTTTCACTGTGAATGTCTCGACCAATAAAATAATGACTCTTGTGTACTGGCTTTTCTCTGGAAGCATGTACGTAAACAGAGAATCTGTCCTCGTGGCCCTGCAGGAAAAGATTAAATAATTTGATTTGCAATAAAATTTGAAATTGCTAGAGAAGAAAGGAGTTATACCAACTTTTGAAAGGGATAAGAAATTGCACCTGCTAACACATCCACAAATTAAGAAACGAAAAACCAAGGAGATTAAAATTTTCAATCAAGCACACATTTGTATTGAGTTGAACTCAGAGACCAAAGTCCATAAAACATACGAGAAAATTAATGATCACAACAAACCATGTAAGGCAGCCACATAGAATGAAACAGAAGAATTCTTATTGGCAATACTTGCAAATGAAAAGATGCATAACTGATGCAAAGTCAAGTAAAAAGTATTGATGATCAAGGAACAAAGTCTTACATGAAAGAACTATTCTTATTGGCAATACTTGCAAATGAAAAGATGCATAAATGATGCAAAGTCAAGTAAAAAGTATTGATGATCAAGGAACAAAGTCTTACACGAAAGAACATATCCCACAGTGGCTCAAAAGGTAGTGTCCCTAGAGTCAAAAACAGGAAAGCAATTTTTGAATTCTTTGATTGGATAGGAGGTGTCTTGAGGATTTCCCTAATTACAACATGAGATATTGTCTCATCGTCACTTAATTCCCTAGAAGGAAATGCTGGTGGCCGGTTGTACAAAGTACAATCTCTAGATGAAAAGATATAGCAGGCTGCCGAACTTGTTGGCGGGTAGACATAGGCAGTAACCAAGAATATGATGACAAAAGTTACCAATACAATAATCCACACTGGCCTCTTCAGATGCGGACGCTGTCTTGAACCAGACATGATTAGAAAATCTTTTACACCTAGCTGCCATGCACGAGTTGTCTTCATCTAGATTGAAGGCAACATGTCAGTATCTCAAAGCATCGCTCAATTTCCGTATCTTACCATCACACAGCTTCACTGTTGAGTGTAAAGACCACTATTGTATGCTGATCAGTTTATTTGAATCAGACCATAATCTGAAAAGGGCAAGATGGGAAATCAATATAGCATCGAAGTGATGGGTACAAGCATGCTTAATAAACCTTACAAATCATGTTTTCAGATAGCAAAAATATTGGCTGTAAAGCAGGGTCACTATTGTTGTTTTCAGTCACACATACACCATGTTCACAATGCAGATTGAGGGATCTTGATTTGCCACAAAATGGGTCATCGAAGGCATAAATGGGTAAATATAAGTGAAGATGAGGAGAATGGTTCTAAAATTCCTGATAACAAGCTGAAATCTCCAAAACTTTTTTGAAAAAATAAGATGGAACTTAAAGTTAAGCAGCAAATACTCCTTAGCTCTATTTTAGGTAAATGTTAAAGCATTGAACGATAAAAAAAATCTAAAACCAATTAAAAATGTGTTAGTAATCAATAGAATTAGAGCGGGTGAAATATACTTATAAGTTATAATCTAAAATAACATTCAATGGAAAACAAGGATTCTCTTAGGAGCCAAATACGGAAGATTTGAACCTTTGATATTGAAGGCATTATATTGATCATTCAAATACCAATCTTAAGATTTAGGAGCAGAGATTTGATAGACTGGATCCTACAAGCAGTGTTTATCAATAGATTTTACCAAATCAACTCTACCTAATAGGCTAATAGTAATATTACAAATGAAAATAGTTGAAGCAAACAGAAGATTCAGCTTTCGCACTTGCGATTGAAATGCGAATTCAATAAATAGAGGAAAGAAATTCTATGGAGGAAATAAAAAAAGAGAAATTATAATCGAAATGAATAAAACTCCGATTGGGGAGGCATTGGAATAGGCATGGCAAAACCGCAATATGATCAGGTCCAAATCTTTCAAGAAAAGGAAACATTCCCATCAATTAAAATAAACAAAAATAAGAGAGAGCAGCAGCAGCAAGCGATTCATGTCGCTGTCGGAGTAAGAGTTAAAAATCGTTTCTCACACTGATGAATAGAAGGAAGAAGGAAGAGTACCTGGCGCTGTAGCTGGAATTTGGAAATGGAATGAAACGTTGATGATGGATTTGACATGCGGAAAGATTGGATCAGAATGAGAGGAGAGATCCAGCAGTACCAGTGGCAATGTGTAGACTTAGACTAAAGACCAAAGGGAGATAGGAAAAAAATTAATAATAATTAATTAATTAATTAATAAATAAAGCATTGCCATGGTTGTAATTTAATAAATAAATTATAAGAAAATAATTAGAGCTAGTAAGAAGGGCAGGATAAGCTAAGTGGGCGTTAATATTTGTCCCTGTCCTACGTGTCCACTACCACTACTAGGCACTCCGCACTACCCTATGTGTTTCATTTTCAACTATTAATTATTATTAAGTATATTAAATTTCATTGGAATCTGTCGAACTCTAACCATATTGTACACTATTTTGTATGTTTATTCTCATGCTTTTTCTATTCCCTTTTTGCCCTTTTCTACCCCAGACTCTCTCTACCTTTCCCACTCTCCTTGTCCAACTCAACTTCAGATTTCAATTTTCCATCTCCCTTGGATCAGCCTATTCCTAATTTTACCTTTCACGTTTCAATTGTGCTTTCTCCACCACATATATAATCCTAAGACTAATCCTAATCCAAGTGATAGTAATAAATAAATAAATAATGATAAGACACAATAATTAAACATAATTTTTGGATATCTTTGCTTACGTCTGAACAATTAAATACAATTTGAATTTATAATTTTTTGTTTTTCTTTTTATTAAAAAGTATGATTTTTTGAGGAATAGGAAATTTGAACATCCATTATCTTTCGGAAAAAGTAAGTAGATATATATATATATATATATATATATCTCTTAGCCTTTGGGGTATATTAAAAAAAATTTTAAAAATTAATAAAAATAAAAATACGTGACTGTTTTTTATTTTACTACAAAATTAAAAATTTTCAGTATCAATATATAAAAAAAATCCAAAATATATTTACGTGAATATAAAAAATGCACTTGTTCCATTGGGGATTTATTTATTAAATTAATTTTAAATAAAAAACAACTATAATCTTCATTAATTATTATCATTTATTTTTTATTTTTATTCTTTCTTTTACGTAAGATTTTTTCTTAACTATGAAATGGTGAAAATTTAATTATTTTTAATTATTATTAAATTTAATTATAATTAAATTATATTCTAATTCAAATATATATTATTTTTATATTTTTTATTCCTATCGTTAATATCGTAAAAATGAAATCGTAAGAGTCATGACCTCAAAGTCCGATGCATAAAGAAGAGGATAACGAGAAAGTAAAACATCTGCTTAGGTGGCAGAACATAATCCAGTTCTTAAAGGGGTGGTGGGTCCCTTGTTTGATTTCCATTCCGACATGGCATTATCATCTGCATTCTCAACTCTCAACTCTTAAGCCAGCCAAAGAAAAAACAATAACAGCTCTCTTCAGTTCGGTGTGTTCCATCACCCATAATAATATCCGCCCATGGCAGCTTATTCCTTCACTCTATCATCCTCCTTCACCCAACCTAAGCCCTCAATTTATGGATTAAAACCCTTTAATCTGTCCTTAAACGCTTCATTTCCGCTCAAATACCAGCATAAGTACCAGACTTTCAGGATAGCTGCAAGTTCGGTTTCCATCAACAATCCAGGACTGCGAACCGGTCCAGATGAACTAGTTGCTTCTATTATCTCCAAGGTAATTTGACTCTTTTGATTCATTTTTTTATTCATTCCACATTTAGTTCTATGATTATTAATTTATTTCATTGCTCTACGTTTAATTTGGCTGACTATCTGGATCTGATGATGGGAACTGAACTGTGAATTAGGTGATGCAAACGGATGGTGGAGTTTCACTGACCAAAAAAGAGCACGAAGAGGTAGCTCAAGTAGCTAACGAGTTGAAGAAATATTGCGTAGATGAACCAGTAAAATGTCCTTTAATCTTCGGAGGTAAAATCAAATGCATAAGTTCTCTGTTATCTTTTGAATCCAAAATGTGCAAGTACAATTCCCGACAAGTTCAAAAGCTCAAATTTGTGTTACAAATCGTTTTTTTTTTTTTCTTGGATGCACTGACCAAATGAAGCGAGGGGTATCTGTTTCCAGAGTGGGATGTGGTGTACTGTTCGAGGCCTACATCACCAGGAGGCGGCTACAGAAGTGCATTCGGGCGCCTCTTCTTCAGGACCAAGGAAATGATTCAGGCTGTCGAAGCTCCTGACACCGTCCGAAACAAAGTCTCCTTCTCTATTTTTGGGTTTCTTGATGGAGAGGTTTCCTTGAAAGGTAGGCTCATTATTTACTAATTACTAGTACATCCGATTATCAGCATAGCTAGCCTTACTGTGAGAGGTTGAAACTTCATCAAATTTCAGAACTACACTAAATACAAATTGGCATTACTTGGTAGTATATGCATTGCAATTTGGATGATATTTTTCTTCAATTTGTCCAACTTAATTAGAGTCATTGGACACGTATTTCTTGTCCTTAAATAAGATATGCATCAGAGGAACACTTCTCATTATCTTTCATGTTCTGCACAGGAAAGCTAAAGGCAATGGATAATCAATGGGTTCAAGTCATTTTTGAGCCACCTGAACTGAAGGTAGGTGCATTGGATTTCCGATATGGTGGTGAGAGTGAGGTCAAGCTGCAGATCACATATATAGATGAGAAGGTCAGACTGGGAAAGGGCTCTAGAGGTTCCTTATTTGTATTTCAAAGGCGTGGATAGGTGTGGAAGATTGATGCTTACGGATTCATGTTTAGAATACTTTAAGATCCTTATGCAGTGCCCATAATTGCTGACATCGTGAAACTGGCGCAACTGTCTCGTAAATGATGGACAAAACCATGCTACCTAAGTTGTTGAATCAAAATGTCCTCTTTTTCCTGGTATTGGATTTGTGTCCGTGTGTGATTCTGCCCATCTGTCTAGAGCATGAGAGATTTAACCTTGCAGAAACATGCCTACAGTTTCTACATTTTCCACTTGCTAATGCGAAATGTGTTATGTCTGGGAATGTTTTGAGTATTAAGAACATCATTTTGATTAATCAAATAACACAATTTAATCACTCAGTACGATATGGTGGATCATGCTTGACTCAACTGTAGAGTGAAAATGCAATGGGCAAAGCTCGACATTTTTTCACACATCAGCCTTAATCAATTGATCTTCACAGCAGAAGTAGGTGAATAGTGAGCCACAAAACATATGCTAGTTAATGGAAAATAAATCAACAGAAATCTCACATTGTTGATGTCATATGCCGATTCAAACACAAGCATCAATCATCACAATATGCATACACCTTAAATGGAGACGAAGTCATGCAAAATCTGATAGAGCATTTCGCAAACATTGCAAAAGTCCAACAAGCTGGAAAAATTCTTAAATACAAAGTGGAAAGAACACGTATTTTTGTGACCATTCTATGTTGCCTATAAATAGATATAAATAGGTTTTGGAGCAAGTGAATTGATGCAGCAAGTGGATTGAGTGGCAATAAGAAAAACAATAATGAGCAGAAAATATTAGTGCAAGAGCAAGAGAAAATCATAATATTCAACAATTTAAGTGTTTTTTTAGGTATATATTGGGGTATTTTTTATCATAGAAACTCATAATATTCTCTCCAATTTAAAATAGATTTGTAGGTATATTTCCAAACAAGTAACTTTGTTATATTATTCCAATTATTGTGAATCTTAACTATGGTATTTTTACATTATTCCACCAATACTTTGTTAAGGCCCAACAAACAATTGAAATAGAACTTATATAGTCTTAGGTCAAACAATACTGCACCTTTTGAACTATGAAATCCAGATCACCACAAATAATCAACCGAAAACAGCACAGATGATGAGTTCAAGCAAATTAACCAGGGCCAACTTTAGGAATGTCATAATGCTCAGTTAGATTAGCCCAATATTGGTTAAATTCCTGAATGCGATCATGGTGTGATTTGCTTGCCATCTTTGCCAGTGTTCTGAGCTCAAGTTCGTGTGTCTGCTGCAGGAATTTTCTTTCAGCTGGAGTAAGATGATCCTCAAAAGCATTAAAATCGCTGCCATCTTTATCAGTCTCATGTAGGTCCTCCTCAGTAGTCCGATTTGTTGGCAAGCCTGTGTTTTCACCTGTAAATCTCCAAAATGAAGAACACAACACTACGGTGTAAGTCAGACATGACCAGATAATAAAAAATGAAGGACACTGGACACTATACACTCAATAAGCAAATCCAGAAGCAGAATCATGATCAGAAACTCAAAAAGCCATTATTAAAGAAGGTTATTTCATTTAGAGGCGATCGCAATCTTTCTCTCCGATTTACAGTACACCAAGATCTCAAATCTGCATTGAGTTAGCAGCTGACTTGGAAGGGAAAAACAGAAGACATTCCAATCTTCCAAAGGTCATGACTTGGAAGTTCATAATTTGCGCATGAAGTAGGAAGAAAGCTCAATAAAAACCAAAATATGTCCTAGACAGCACATTGGTCTAGAAAAGCTTGAGCAGTAAATAAACAACACATTGGTCTAGAAAAGCTTAAAGCTTTCACAGAACATTCTGTTCAATCATAGATTATAACACCGACAACTAATCTCCCAACTCTTAAGAGTAGTATCAAGAAAGTATAGATACTAATGATGTACACGAAACAAACACAGAGGAAGAAGGAGAAGATAAAGCAAAAGACATGGGAAGTACCAACCTTGGTGGGAGAGGGAGGCATGACGGTGTTTGTGTCTCTTCTTCTTGTTATTGGAAATGCCATCTACTTTAACGTGGAGGGCTTTCCCCTTCAGCCTCAGTCTTCCCCCGACAATGTTCTCGTACGCCGACATCTAAAGTAACAGAAAATGCAACATTAACAAACATACTCCGATTATAAACAATAGTACGAATGAATTTTACTGACAATGCAAAATCAAAGGCATAAGGATTGAACTTGGGACACCTTTGCTTGCGTCGTTCCTTCGTTCTTAGCTCTGAAGATGTTTTCTTTCTCCTCACCACTGACCGTTCCTGTGTCACGGCTGAGACTCAACCTCTGTGGGGCTTCAGGACTTGGATATACACTCTTCCAACATCCTAGATCACTTTACGATTCACATTTTGTGAAGTATTATCCATTTTGTCCTTTCGACCTCATAATTTTATTTTATAAAAAACGCCGCATAAAGAGAGAATGGTATAGCTCAAGATCAATTCTAATATTCAACCGATGTGAGATTCTTAATTTTACTTTAGGACCGTGATATCTTCCCCACTCCAACGAGAGCCCACTATCCGTAGTGACACATCGTTGATACCCTCTAGAATTAGCTCTACTACCACTGTCACGTGCTTTGGTCTTGAGCCTAGCAATCGTGCGACCTTAGGCTTGGAAACTTCCATTCAAGTATTCCTAAGTTAGCCTTAAACAAAGTTAAGTGAGTATACACACAAAGAAGGAAGTTAAGTGAGGATACACACAAAGAAGTCACTTGGGAAAAGAATACAAGATTCTCTATTGCTGGAAGAATGTGGCGTGCTTGAGTATCTTGGATAGCTTATAAGATCACTAACTCTCATACATTATTTCCTAAGGGTAGGAGGCACCCCTATTGTGTGGTTATCATTTACACTCTAGAGGGTTCCAAAGCTTCTGGATACATACTAGATCGGTTGGACAGTCTCTAAAAGGAGACTGGTTCTAAGCACTTCTGTGTTGCACTGGTTCCAGAAGGCTTCCAGGCACTCCTGGCAGAGTGCCCACGGCCAGGGCCTCCCTGAAGCTTCTCTGTCTGGGTGCTACAGTATTTATGCCAACTTGCGCACTTGTCCCTACCAGAAGGTTTCTTGCCCGCCCCTTTGGCCTGAATGATGCTCATCTAGAGTTTTCTCTATGTCCATTGCCTGCACCACCATTCTGGAGCTATCTAGAATCTTCTGACGCAAGGTCCCTTGGCTCAACCTCAGGCAACTCTGGCAGGAACTTATCCTTGCGGCCTGGTGCCGAAGGTCTGGCCTCCTTGCGCTGGTTCTCAGGCCTTGGCTTTGCTGGAGCTCGCGCGGTGTGTGACACCTGCAGGTTCTAGAACCGAACGGACATTTCCCGAATCCATATGTGTCATTTTATCTACAGGGAAAAAAAAAAAAACAAATGAACAATAGAGAACCAACCTGTCCCAGTGCGGAGAAACGCCGTCGTTTCTACTCACTCTACAATAGAGAACCAACCTGTCTCAGTGTGGAGAACGCCGTCGTTTCTACTCACTCTACATTTACCACGACTTACGGCTTCGGGTAACTTGGATCACCGTTTGCAGTTTTGTTTGCCGATAACGCACAGTACTCTTGACGCCATTTCTAATAGTTAGTGATGACAATGGCAATCTCAGCGCGCGGTGGTAGTCTTCGGTGGACGAATGATAGCTCTTATCCGTCAGGTTCTTCTATCCTAATCAGAATCAAACTACTAATATTAGCTCTACAAATGTTCTATTCATCTCATTTCTCAAATCAAAATTATCAGGTAAAGGATGCAAATATGCTGGTCAAGCCGTGGTAAACTTTTCTGCTCCACCCCTTTTGTTACATGTCAAATTCTCGCTTCAAAATTATGAAAAATAGTAATTAATGACTATGGGTTTTTGATCGGTGTGGCTGGCTGGGCAGAGAGCATTACCTATCCGAATCCTAACGGTTGGAAAAAAGAGGTCCCGCGGTGTTCAATTGCTGTTGGATGAATATATTGCAAAGCTCAAAAGTTATTGTCATGTTGATGATGTTCAAATTCGCTCCAATCCTAAAAATACGCGGTACTCTTTCCTTTCTACCCTTTGTCTGTTGATTTAATATGTGTTCTGTTTTTATGCCGTTATGGGTGAATTTTTTCTTCTTTGTAGCAATGCGAGGGCTCAGGTTGATGATGAAGACACGGCTGTCGTCAACCTTATCAGGTCTGATGATTGGGTAGGGCCTCAAACACCATTTAACTCAACTTCCATTGGTCTTGTTTTTCTCCCCCTTCTTTTCTTTCACCTTTGTAATATTTGCAAATTTAGTTTTGTTGGCCATTAATCACCCTTGATTTGCAACTATTTACCTCTATAATTGTAGGTGGTGATGTTGGATGAGCGTGGACTAGATATTGGCTCTGAGCAGATGGCCGAATTGTTAGGAGATGCTGGGAATACGGTATGGAATACAAACCATTAAAATGATTACTGGGAATAATTGAAAAAACATGTATCAGAGTAGATTTAGTCTTATTTGACTATGTGAAACCAACTTAATGTGAAAAACGCTCAGAACTTCTTGTTTGTTGGGTGTGTATACTGCTGGAATTTCCAGCATCAGAAATTTGATTCATACATATTTTGCATCCTCCTCCTGATAGATATTAGCCACCACGTATTTTGCACATATTCATACATATTTTGCACTATCAAGCTCGTTGCTAGATGCCACTTTCCCAATACCAGATGCTGGCAGTTGCAAATATTTTAGTAGCCAGAACAATTATTGGATCATTTTCACTTTTTGACCTAGAGTGCAATTTAGTGATATAGGGCATGATGATGCATACTATGTAACTTCGAATTGCTTGAATTTGATTTTTAGAAAATTGAGTCATGCATAACATAAGTATTTTTGCAATTTGCCATGTTTTAGGGAGCTTCAAGATTATCATTTTGCATTGGTGGACCTTATGGTCATGGACAACAAATACGAGAACGTGCGAACGTATCAATCAAGTTGTCTTCAATGGTATTGAATCATCAAATTGCACTGCTCGTACTCATGGAACAACTTTATAGGTGAGAAAAGTTTTAACTTATAGTTCCATCTTCAATGTTACACACATTCGATATTGTGAAACATTGAAAAACATTCATTACAGATATCATATTTGTTAGTTATAACAAAATATGCTTATTTTACAGCAAGGTGATTTTTAGTCATGCTTGTTCTTTGCAGTCTTCTTCAATCTAATTTTGAATGATAATTAATAATTCATCAAAAAAAAAAAAAGAAAAAAGTGCTTATCAGTCACTATGGATAACCAATAATTTTACCTATCCTCAAGTGAAAGCTCTTACTGAATTTTTTATGTAACTGTTTACTGTTTGGTTCATTTTCAAGGACCATTTTCTAACCCAAAGTTTGCGAGCTACTTCTTGCAGAACAGGTTGAATTTGATGCACTGAGGTGGTATCGGGAGTATTGGTTGGTATGATGATTCTGCTATTGCTGTCCTGCGCAGCATATTGGAAAGTTTCAGTTGCATTTGAGTTTGGGTCAATCAGTAGTGGAGAGAGACTCATCTCTCATTGTTGCTTGAGCTAGATATAGATGGGAAATTATTGGATATTATTGAGTTAAAACCAACTTGAATTGTTAGGAGTGGTTTAATTGCTTTTTGTTGACAGTTTATGGTGGATGGTTATAATGTCTAGTCAAAATGGTTAAACTTAATTGAATTTTTAGGTAAGGGCCACAAGTGGTATGACATCTTCCTTTTTTTGTTTCATCTCTTCACATTGTCTTTTTCTGTTGGTGATTGCTTATGACACTAGTGATAAAAAAATTTGTTATAGGTGGTCATGTCAATCGTGAGATGTTATGTATTCTACTCTTTGTATATCTCTGTTCTTTACCCTATGAGAGGTGATGTATCATGATTTCAGGTCATGGACTATTCTGAAAGGACAGAAGTACCATCATTAGCCATCTTCTGTTGCAAATCATGCCAAAAAGGTAATTCTGAAATCCTTATCTGTTGCTTCTCCTTCTTTCCGGCTCTGCCTTTTTCCTTCCTAATCTTTTATATCATTCCTGGTTGTACTATAAGTTATGTCGGTGATTGGTGTTTGCATTGTCCAGATATGTAACAAAACGGGCCGCTGGGAATGCAGTCAATGCACCATGCATATGCTTAGGCATGAAATCTCCCCCTTTTTTTATTCTTATATAGTGGTCAAGATATAAAATTGAAATCTTATGTTAAGGTTTGTTATTAACTATCAGACGGGTCCATTTATCACAGATAATGAGTTAAGATTGCTTAATAGGTTACATAATCTACTGTCTTCTTTTCCCTCAGCTTAGCATCGTTCTTACCAAGTTATTTGTGATCCTGCTGCCTTAATTGAACCCTTAGCCACTGAAAGATGTAGGTATCCTTACTGCACTTCTTTGTCTACCTATTTGCATATCTGATCATGAAATGATACTTTCCTTTTCTATTATTTCACTTCTGCATGTGCGGATTAAAGTTTTTGAGAGAACCTACATTCGTATTCTTATGCTTGGCAGCAACAGCAAATGGACTAGATTGAGAGTATTGTGTATGCTGCAGTGCAGACTGACATAACAATTTTGGAGTGGCATGGACGAAGAATGGAGCTTGTTGAAACCCTCACCATATAACTCAGATCTTAGGGCAAATTAAGCTTATGCATTGTCTTTACTGTATCATCCACTAACATCTTAGAGATAATCTTGCATCACTGAACCATACACAATTATAGCTGTAGAAGACGTTAACATTCAAGGCAATCCCAGGCCGAAGAAAACATGTTCAAGGAAATCTATTGTCCGGCGTAATCTTGATTAATGATTGAAAGCTCAGAGTTGGGTTTTCGAGGATATCTAATTCCACAGTTGGCACAGCAGCAATTTCTATCTAGATAAGTTTATCCTGGGAAAGTTTGATTCATCAAATGAGTAGCTATTAAGTACAAACTTAAAGAAATGAAACCTGATTGTTTTGAAATGCCCTAAAATGCTGATCAGTTTGTCGGTAAAGCAGAATTGTCCAGCTGATATCTGTATTCTGTATCATTTATTATACTAATATAGGATGAGATTCGTTCATGATTCCTTAATAAGAGAGATAATGCTAGTGCAACTATGCACCCCATGGAGGTATTTTATATTTGGGTTAACACATAATTTGACTTTTGAATTATATTAATTTTCATGATTTGGTATTTTATCTTTTATCTTTTATTGTGTCATATCATTTATTTTAGATATTAACTTTGTTAATAATATGATGTAACAAGAAATCAATAAATAAAATAATGAAATGTGACTTATTTTCATTGATGAATATATGCTTACTTAATCATTTTATTTAATATCAATAGTCAATATTGCAAAGTAATTGATAAAAGCAAAGCTAAGGCAGTAATTTTTTTTTTATAAGTATCAAATCATAAAAAGTGATATAATTTAGTGCCACTTGTACATTAACTTTTTATTTTTGAAGAATTAGCCTTGAATGCGTCTTTCTTACCGAGTGAGAGTAGAAAAGCAAACCTCGACTGCTGTGGTCCAAACGGCACGAGAAAGCTAGCTCAAACCTTGCACCTACTGTTCTGCTTTCCTTTTTCGAAGGCAATTACAAAGCTGTGGCTGCTATTGTGACAAATCGTCGAGAACCTGCCTCTTCAGGTTCAGAGAAGGCCACGTCTTTAATATCCACGTGTCAACTGAGCAACTACTTAAAATTTTGCCAGCTACAAAGCCTAACTATGTGCAACATGGCTATTCTTCCCTCCTCCTCCTTACTTTCACTTTCGCAGAGAAAACTCATCTATCCATCTTCAATATTTGCATGTTCAACTCAAATTAGGTTCCAACTTGGCTTCCAAATCATGACTTCCACTTCAAAATGCGAACCCAAATCCGTTGCTTCTTCAACAGTTTACGAGGTTCCGGGACTAGACTCCCATGAAATGGACAGCATTGCGGAGAAAACCTTTGCAAGGTACTCATCAAAGACAGAACTGAAGAGGAATGGGAAAGGGATTTCGATAGTTTGGTATAGGAATGATTTGAGAGTGTTAGACAACGAGGCTTTGTTTAAGGCTTGGGTTTCTTCTGAGGCCATTTTGCCTGTTTACTGCATCGACCCTCGTCTCTTTGAGACCACATATTACTTTGGTTTACCTAAGACTGGAGGTATCACTTCGGTTCCTGCTTCCCGCTTTCTAGGTTGTTTTTGTTGTTTGTTTCTTTCGTTTTTTGGACTTTTTGGTGTCCGTTGATGTAATGTTAAAGACTTTTAACAGCTAGGCAGTAGGAACAACTTAGATGTTGCTGGATCTTGTAGAACTTGGCTGAATTTGTTTCTATTTACTTAAAGCTAATTAAGGGCGTAGACATATTATTACTATGATAATTCATTTCTATTTGCTTTCCATTTGTTTCTTGCTAGCTTTGAGAGCACAATTTATCATTGAATGCTTGGCTGATTTGAAGAAGAATTTGATGAAGAAGGGCCTTGATCTTCTCATTCAACATGGGAAGCCAGAGGACATTCTTCCTTCTCTTGCAAAAGCTTTTGGAGCTCACACAGTTGAGTGCCTGCCACTAAAATGTCTATAAATGAATCTATAGTTTATAAATTACTTTCCGAGTTATTGAATTTATATAGTGTACATTTTGAAAACTAATCTAGTCAGGTATATGCCCATAAAGAAACCTGCAGTGAGGAGCTACAGGTTGAAAGATTGGTTGTGCGAGGTCTGAGACGTGTGGTTTTATCACCAGCTCAAGGGAATTCTACCAATTCAAGTTCAACAAACAACCCTAAGCTAGAACTTATATGGGGAAGCACTATGTATCACTTAGATGACCTTCCATTCAGTGTCAGCAGTTTGCCAGACGTATATACGCAGTTTCGCAAGGCATGATTCTACAGTGTCATTTTGGGTTCATTATAGTCTAGTGTGAATGATGACATGGAGCTTTTCTGTGCTAGATGTTTGTTAAAAAAATTTAATACTTGCAGTCTGTTGAAGCCAAATGCACAATCCGGGGGTGCATTAGACATCCAAAATCTCTTGGACCACCTCCCAATATTGATGATTGGGGAAGTATTCCTTCAATTGAGCAGCTTGGACTTCACTTAGAAAAGGCAAGTTAACATGCCATATATATACTATGCATACAAATTAATTTCAATAAGCATTGAGAATGCTAGGTTTTATAGTGAGTTTTTCTTTTTCTTAATTGACAGGCTACCAAAGGAATGCTATTTTTAGGAGGTGAAACTGCTGCATTGAGCAGAGTAACAGAATACTTCTGGAAGAAGGCAAGATGAAGTGGCTTATTACTTTATTTTGAATGGCAGAATTGCATATTTACTTTCATGATCTGTACTATTGGGAGAAGTAGTACCATAGTCCATAGATGGGCTGATAATAGTGAAATAAAAAGAGAAGATTTCTCGATTATGCTGTCTTCTTAATCAGTCTCACTTGCATGCATGTATAGGACTTGCTAAAAACATACAAGGAGACGAGGAATGGGATGTTAGGACCTGATTACTCAACGAAGTTCTCTCCGTGGTTTGCTTCAGGAAGTCTCTCTCCTCGATTAATATATGAAGAGGTTGCAAAACTTTCTGAATTTTCCTTTGCTTTTTTTACTGCTTTTACATAACCATGTTGAATAATGAAGAGGATAATTTTAACTCAGGTAGGCATTTTGATTAATACTAGGTAAAGAGATATGAAAAGGAAAGGCAAGCAAATGACTCCACATACTGGTACCTTCCATCGGTCTTGTTCTGAATGGAAAACTCTTTTCCATACTCTATTATTTGAAAACTTGACTAATTTTGAAATTTCAGTTTGTGAAATGGAAAATAGATATCTATGTTTGGGTTGGCGTAAAATTTAAATTTGAGAAAGAAGCCACTAAAACACCATGTGTTAATCTCATATGAGGCTTGAACTTCACTAAAAACTTAATTTTACTTAATATGAAATTTGTTGCAGGGTGTTGTTTGAATTGATATGGAGGGATTACTTCAGATTTCTTTCGATCAAGTATGGGAATTCGCTTTTCCATTTAGGTAAAGATTGAAATTAGTGAATCTCTTTAGGAGTCAAACTTATGTTTATGGTGAAATTTTTTTCACTGTTTTAGCAAAAGACCTACCTTCTTTGATAGTATGAGCAATATTTTCACTATGTGAATTAATCAATAGTCATTATCATATGAATTGAAGAAGTTGGCTAATATAGGTGGCCCAAGAAAAGTGGAACAGGGATGGAGTCAAGAACAAAAATTGTTTGAATCCTGGAGAAATGGCTGTACTGGGTATGTTGTTTAATCCACCTATATGCTTGTTTGGATAAGTAAGAGAAGTTTCCAACCCATGCATCATTTTAGAATTTGACTATGCTGAAATTTGAACAGAATCTATTTCATGCATATATATACTTTATCATGTATTTACATGAATTTCGCATATTTGTAGATACCCTCTAATAGATGCAAACATGAAGGAACTATCAACCACTGGATTCATGTCAAATCGAGGCCGGCAGGTAAACATTAAGTAATGCACATTGTATAATTTTCATTTTTCCTGTAGAATATCAGTATGGGAAAGTCCCTGCATTCAAATCATAGACTAGCACGATCAAATCCTTAAATAGCATCTACATTTCATTTTTTTTTTTTTTTTGGGAATCCTGCAAGCTGTTAAACATGTTTGCAACATGACCAACGGTTAGTCTCTTCAACTGCAGATTGTATGTTCCTTTCTTGTTCGAGACATGGGAATTGACTGGCGGATGGGAGCAGAATGGTTTGAAACATGCCTTTTAGATTACGACCCATGTTCCAATTATGGAAACTGGACGTATGGTGCAGGTGATTCACATATGCATTTCCTTTCTAGCATCTGTACTTAGAATCGGGTCTGAAATACTTTCTAAGCTAATATGTCTTCCGAAGTTTCTTAAGCTATGAATGCAGTTTTCTTGAACTTGTTAATTTATTTGTTCAACCTTTCTTTTGGAATATGACAAGTCTTTTCCTAACATTGTATAATGTTCCTTCATTTAAGGAGTTGGAAATGACCCTAGAGAAGACCGCTATTTCAGCATCCCAAAGCAAGTAAGTGCACTCAGATGTTTAAATTGTTGAAATTTTTTTCTTGGTGCATTTACACAATTTAAGTCAAATCAGTTACTTTAAGCAAATAACATCGCTTAGTATGCAATGGTCATTTTTTTCCTGGATTAAATGTCTTATTCAAAGGCATTTTGATGAGAAATTACATTCATGAAGCTGTAATACCCAGTTCTGTTCAGAATAGATCCAGCAATTTGCAGGATGAGGAACTGAGCCTCCTTAACAACTAACAAGGCGGAAAAGCAGTGTCACTTGTAATTTTAAGCATAAGCATATAATAGAAAGACACGAGAAGCACTGCACGCATGATTAACATAAGTGAAATACATTATCATTTTGTAATTAAACACAAAGGAGGATGCCGTCCATTGAAACGTAACATAATGACAAAATCATAAGGAATTTGATCTGGTCATGAAAAACTAGTCTAAAAGGAAAAAGTATTGAGCATGAGAACTTTTATAGTGTTATTGGTAACGTGAATAATTTTTTCAGGCACAAACATATGATCCTGAAGGCGAGTATGTGGCATATTGGTTACCAGAGCTTGTTGCCCTTCCCACAGAAAAAAGGAACTTTCCTGGAAAATCGTATATTGAGCAAGTTGTACCTCTCAAATTCGGGAACACCAATAGGCACCATAATCAAAGCATGGCGAGAAGAAGCAAATTTGGTGGGAGACAGTTCGGGGCACAGAGGAGATGAAAGAAGGAAAACACATCTTTTCTTTGTTGTAATCCTGGAAGGTGTGGGCTGGCTTTACTCTTTTTTATTTTTCATTTACATCCACAGGGAAACACATTTTTCATTTGCTGAAGAAGTTTTAAATATCATTCTTGCATTGAGTCGAACAAATTTTAAAATTATAAAAAATAAGCCTACATTTAGTGTTATGCAAATCCAAACAAGTGGAGTGAGTCAAGCGAAGGATGGGTTACGTGAGCTTGGCGACGGCTGATGGACGTAATTTCCTGCTATCGTTTGCTGTATTTGCTGTCTTCTCCATCAATTGATGTTTTCAGCCTACATGGTAAAGACAATTAGAAAAGCTGTTCAAAAATTACAAAGAAAAATTTATGGAAAAAAGTAGATGAAGATTTAAGGTGCTGGGTGCACACCACATGGCATAGATGCTCTTGGAACACGCAAAATAGAATGTAGCTTAGCAAGCCACTTACTAAGCAGGAAGCATTCAAAATAATAGAGGAGCGTAGAACACCTGAGGTGCAGCGCAATCAGCATCGGCTGGGTCCCAAACAACAGCACAAGAACAGTCCCAGTCAACGGTTTGGACTTCACAAAATGGTGCCCTGTATTATCAGGGCGTCAGCACTAAAAGGGACGTATGGAAGTGATGCATATACTTTATATTTTCTTTATAGGTGCGTAATTAGGGAAAGGAATTTTGATGAAGTTCCAGTAAGATGGAAAATGTGCCTTCTGATTAAAGAAAATAAAGGAAATCAAATCTGAACTCTGCAAAGTTATTCGCCTACTGCATCACGACACGATTAGTCAGAAAATGATATGATAGAGATTTTGCCTTCTAATTGCAACAAATCTTCTAAGCATTAGCACATAAACAGTAATAACATCAGGGAGTTCGAATTACCATGAAAACCAACTGAGCAAAAGAGAGTGAAATTTCTCTCACAATTGTCTTAGAATTTCCTCTACGCTTAAAGATCCAGCTGGAGATTTCATCCTTACAAGATAGGAAATGAGGAGAAAGTCTGAATTTGTATTTACCTGAGCCATTTCTCACATACAGTTTCGTTAACACAATCTCTTGCATCATCATAATGGACTTCCCAACATCGGAGCCAGTTGTTCAAGGAATTGGACTTGAGAAACCAGTCTGAACAGGGGATCTGAGAACCATGGTAAAAGTAGGCATGATAACCCCCAACCCCAATAAGCTCAGGTTGCAAGTAGTCAGTAAAAACAATCTATCACACTCCTTTTTGATGTGGGATGGGACATAGCATTAGGTCTTAGGCTGTGATTGACATTTCTCCTTTCTTAAATGAAACTTATGAAAAACTTACAAATATTATTATATGGGGTAGATTTGATTTGCCTTTAATGCCTGGAATTCCAATGCAAACTACAAAGGTGTTTCTTTTGCCCTTTTAAAAATCAGAATCCGGTGACCAACGCTTTCAAAACCTCCCACGTGGACGTGTGCATACGAATTATGTGCACTGCAGCTGTAGGAGAATTTCTCCGTAAATTACACGACACTTGAACAGAGTTGAATTTAGAATCCTTGTGAAAACTAGACTCCTAAAAGCCAAAGATTCAAGCTTTGTCCAACCTCTGACACCGATCGACTCAATACTGTAGCACAAGCGCAAGTAACTGAAAACGTAACAATCAATGGCTTCCAACAACAACAACAATGTCACGGATGAAACTTCCACCACCATCCACGTGGAACCACCGGCTTCCGTCGCTACTCCTCCGTCACTTCCGGCGGCGACCGCGGCTTCGGCAGAAGGAGTCCCAGAAAAGCAAGAAGAGGGAGAAGAAGATGTAGAAAAAGCTGAGAATGAGAAGGCGGCGGTGGAGAAGTGGCCCGGGTGGCCTGGATACAACGTGTTCAGGTTGATAGTGGCGGTTTCAAAGGTGGGGAGCATCATTGGACGTAAGGGAGAGCTTGTGAAGAAGATGTGCAACGAAACTCGTGCCCGCATTCGCATCCTCGAAGGCCCTCTTGGCACTCCCGACCGCATCGTCTGTCCCTTTTCCCTCTTTCAACTCCTCCTACTATAAATCTAGGCCCCAGCACCCCCCCCCCCCAAAGAAAAACCTAACAACAAGTTAAGAGCTGAAGTGTTTTTCTTTCCTTTTGTAGGTTCTAATATCTGGAAAAGAAGAGCCAGATGTGCCACTCTCCCCTGCAATGGATGCTGCTGTAAGAGTTTTTAAACGTGTTGTTGGTTTATCTACTAATGAGGGTGAGGTTGCTGTGGCAGCTTTTTGTTCTATAAGGTTATTGGTAGCATCTTCACAAGCAATCAATTTGATTGGGAAGCAAGGTTCTACTATTAAATCTATTCAGGAGGCCACCGATGCTTCTGTTCGGGTTTTGTCAGAAGGTGCAAATGCAATCTTATTCTTTTTCTACAACATTTATATTTTGCTACAATGAAATTGAATAACATTACTATTACATAGAACATCTCAGCTGTAAAACTCCAAACAAATCAAGCCAATGCCTGACTTCTAGTTTCCTTCCTTTATCTTGGCAGTTTGTTTGCATGTATGCCACCTGTGTATGGTTCATCAAATTCGGGTTTTACTAGAATTAAGCATGATTTTAAGGATACAAACCTCGTTAACCTTCCCAGATTAAGTCTTTCCGAAGCAGATTGTTAGAACCCAAATCTTGGTTTTCTAATTGCTAATTTGATGGGATATCTAGGTGGCTGAGGGAATAGCCTAGTCCGAGCCGATTCCTACCTCTAAAATTAAGGTCTTGAGATCAAGTAGCCCGCCCCCCAACACCTTAATTATCAAATAAACTCCTCTTAACTTATCTTCTTCCTCGTTTTCCTCTCCTTCCTAGTCCCAACTGTATATTTTACTTCTCTTTCTATATTCACTGTACCTTTTCTCTTTTCCCTTGAATTCAAAGCAGCAAGGTTCTGAGATTTACATTTATTTCAGATGAGGTGCCCTCCTATGCTACTTCAGATGAGAGAATTGTGGAGATACATGGCCAAGCTTTGAAGGTTCTTAAAGCATTAGAAGCTGTATTGGGACAGCTGAGGAAGTTCTTGGTTGATCAAAGCGTTGTTCCTATTTTTGAGAAAAGTGTAAGTGTTAGGCATGAAATTGCTACTTGCCACGTTTGCAACAGTTTGAGAATTAACTCATATGCCTTTGACAGTATAATGCAAAAATATCACAGGAGCGTCCGTTTGATGCCAGAACTGATAAAACTCAGTCATCACTCCATTCTGCTTCTGCTTATCGAACTGGGATTGGTTCTGATTATTCCCTGTCCTTGAAGCGGGATCCTTTGTATGATTGCGAAACTCATCTAGAGCCCAAAATTCCTCCGTCAGGACTGTCACCATATGGACTAGATCATGGAATTGGAACAATACGCTCAAGTGGAGTTACTCGTACTGCTGCACATATAGTTACTCAGGTTGGTCAATTTATTATCACTATCAACGCAAGAGAATGAGCTTCTAGGTGTTATGAAAATAATCATCAAAATTGTTGCTGCTGCTAGTGTTGCTATGTTACATGTGCTTATTTCAAGAAAGTTGGTTGTGGTATCTAAGGATATCTCTGCATCCATTTGTTGCAACTAAGGGTAAGGAAATGTTCTCAAATGATAGAGCATTTTCATGTGCACTATTCTGGCTACAAAGGCCTGTCCTGCATTGATCAGAAGAGTTGTTTGAATGTCTTCCCAGTCTTTCGGTTTCCTTCTAATTATTATTATTTTATTCTTCTAGTTCAACTTGTTCTTTTTCTCATTTTTTGATTGGCTCATTCTTTTTGGATTGATCATGCGTACTCTTTGTTTTAGATGACGCAAACAATGCAAGTACCATTGTCCTATGCAGAGGACATCATTGGTGTTGGTGGATCAAATATTGCATATATTCGCCGTGCAAGTGGAGCAATCCTTACAATACAGGAGAGTGGGGGTTTACCAGATGAGATTACTGTGGAAATTAAGGGCACCACTTCACAAGTTCTGATGGCTCAACAGTTAATCCAGGTAGCTATCATAAATTCTGTATCATAAGTTAGACAATGAGATAGTAATTGTTGGCCAAATTTCCCTCTGTACAAATGCGGGTTTTAACATGTAAGATTTTATTTAACAGCTTCAAGTTGGTGTTCTTTTTGCAGGAATTTACTAGCAGTCACAACGAACCTGCACCAAGCATATACAGCAAGGTTGATACAGGGTTGAGTGCATACTCCCGGTTGCCAGAGACTACCTATACTTCATCATTTGCATCGCATATAGAAGGGTATGGGTCCTCTTCTTCCTCCGGTTTGGGAGGATATAACAGTTTTAGGTACTGAGTTGCCATGATATTTTACTGTGCTGGACACTTTTTTTTATGTCAGTGAATAGAGATACTTGGAACAAATGAAGCCCTTTATTTTAAACTTTTAGAAAATGTATGGAAATGTGACTGGGTAACTCCCATGTGGAAGTGGAAATACCAGAGGGAATGCCAGATGGAAAGGGCAGTCCACATAAACACAGACTCCATGATATTGGGCTTTTTGTAGTTGGGGTCACATTTTGTTGGGTCAACTTTGAGCATCAGCTATTATCTCGAACCCAGTCTTTACCCCGCTTAGGGTCCGCCGAACTTTGAAACTTTGCTCCGTTTCAATATTCTTCTGGCCCAATCATAGTAATTGGTCTTCTATATCTTAATTCTGTCGTAATTTTAAAAAAATAATGGACAAGAGTGATTTTTTCTGTTTTTCTTTTTCATATTTATTGTGTATCGTATTTCAATAAATTGAGCTAAGTTATTGAGAAAAACTTAATTTCCCTTTTTTAAATGCCAAATTAGAAAAAAGATGAATATGGAGTTCAGTTCAGTTAATTCAGACATCTATAATCCGAAATTGAATCTAGGCTCCAATTACGTAGCTAGAAATATTTTCTTCTCTAGCCGTGGGCTGGCTTTGAGAGAAAAAAAAAATCATGGAACGTCATGTTCGCACAATTAGACTTCAACAAACTAAAGTGTGAAAAGTCTTCAAACAAAAAAATAAATAAATGAAGGGTGAAAAATTAACAAGAAAATATCTTTGATTGATTAAGCTGCTTGCTAGTTTTACTTAAACACCAAATGTTAGTCTCAATTGGAGGTTGTGTCATGTCTCTCAACGTAGTGGTGATATTCTAATTGGATTCTAATAAATCGAAGCCGACCACCTTACCTATACATGATTTCTTGTTCCCAAAAACTTCAATATGTATAATTGAATAAAATTGACGGATTAATTTATACAGCATAAAACTTTTTAATTTTACATTATGTTTTAATAATTAATTTCAATAAATTTAAGAAATGAAATGAGATTATTATTATTTTATTATTATTTGTTTTTCTCATCTCTTAGATCTATTAAAATTAAGGGTTAAAAAAATACGTAAAATTAAAAACATTTTACTCTATATAAGTTAATCTCTCCTCAATAAAATTACTATATATATATATATGTTGAATATATGAGTTTTTTAAAATTTAATCATTAATTAATTTATGTAATCACCTTTAAAATATGATATTTAACAGATCTATGATCTGAATTTTAATATCTGTAACATTTTTTCTCCATCTCAGATTTTCTTTATTAAAAAAATGTTCTTCCTATCCAAGTTCCAACCTAACATATACTAGCTACAAATGTCCTACGACAATATTGATTACTATATAGTATTGTTTTTGGTCAAGAAATACAAGAAAACAAATCCATACGCTAACGAAAGCTCAACTTCTTCCTTGTTAGCAGAGGAAAAACGAGAGAAAGGGAGGGCACACACAGAGAAAGAGAACAAATTAAAACGAAATTTAGATAGTACAAGCAGTTGTAATTAGTGTCGTAAACATGGCCAAGATTGTGCATATCCGATCTATAATTTCATTTGTTTTGACATGCAACTACTCCTTTGAATATTTTGCATCCCATTTGGGAACAAAAATCATCTCAGCACTCAACTTGATCTTTTTCTATATTCATACCAAACGAATGAGCATCATCTGTATTTTCATTTCAAAGTTGATTAATCATTGTATTATGGTGTCAATCTAACATACCAGGAAAGGCGTAACCATGAGATCAAACAGCGGCCCCTTTTAATATTTTGAAGTGTTTGACAAGTAGCATGCCAAGAATGAATCTCCAAACCTACTTTAGGGTTTTATCATTGTTCAAAGAGTATTCTTGAAAACTACTAAACAACAACTTCATCAAGAACGCGTTATTAAAGTCGTCGTTAAATTATTTTAAGAACTAATCACTCACGTTGACCAAATATAAATACGTATTTGAGAATCGTGTTGAATAAGTGAATGCTTCACAATTATTCATAATGTTTAGCCAAATGAGCACGAAATCTTAATTTATGACTTAAGAATAACAAGATGATTTTGAACTATATATGTATCAATAGAGCTAATTATATGTCAACAACTATTTCAACAAAATGATAAAACTCTAATAAGTAAATAAAAATATACTAAATAATAATATGTCTCTCATATATATAACTATATCTAGGACCAAATTAAAACTTTTCATCCAAACACTATCTCAAGTGGCAATCAAATGTTAATATATAAAATGTTGTGGCAGTACTAAGTAATTAATCTAAGTGGCATATAGAACGTCCTAGCTAATTCCTTTCCTTTGGATGATGCCCGGCCCTAACTATTTATTTCAGTAATGCCAAGAATATAGATAGCTTTAAGATTCTAAACGTCTTACTAGTAGATATGCTTCAGATCATTGGCTAGTTTAGTTGTAAATTAATTAATAAATTTGGATGAAAAAATTAAAAGGCTAAATTAAGATTTCAACGAAATGAATTAAACTGACAAATTAAGCAGCAAATTAAATAAAGTTTTTAATAGTTGAGTAATTTGAAATTTGAGTGCTAAGCAAGTAGGGAAGCAACCTTGTGTGCCAAAACTAGTAAGGTGGTGTACGTTTTAACTTTTAATATTATCTCTACCGATTGGCAGACAGATGTATCACAACTGCTTCATTAAAAGTTGCCATTCATTGGAAAAGATGAGAAAATTAAGCACAACTCATTGATTGCATAATATAAAATTAAGGAGTGGATATGTCAGACTGGTAATTGGCTAAATCACTTTATTCATCACTAAATCTAAATCGAGCACGCAATGCAAAGCTGCATGCATGCATGCATGGAATTTTGGTGTCAGTTGGATTCTATTAATTAAGCCGCAGAATAATTGAGGCTTACCTCAGTTAGCCTGCAGCACTGCAGGACCATCATTTCTACTGTGTAATATCTCAGTACTCTTTACATATATGAAGGAAATTATATATAAAGATGGTTAATTACTGTTCAACTGCTGCAATTGCAGCTAGATTTAAGAAAGCAGCAGAAGCATTTTGTAAAGGAAGACAAATATGCATGGCATTGATCGTAGGGCATGTAATTTGCGTGGGAGAATTAAAGAAGTATGCCTCCTCCTTACTCCCTAAAGTGTCTGTTCTATAATATTGATCGATCTGCAGATGGTCGATTAATTTCTAATTGATTAAAAACAGTGTCATGAAAACGAAATTAATAAATGCTACGACTACTAGTATATATTAAAAAATGTGAAAAGAAAAAAAAGAAAAAAAGAAAAGTAGTAGCTACCAATCAGCGCATAAATATATATATATATATATCTTCCCTAGTTTCAATCAGGATGCAAAATAACAAAATTACTTTTTCATTATATTTATATATTTATATTTATATGTAGATATATATTTAGGTGAGTTTCAGCATCAGAACAGGTAGGCATGAGCGAGACCCTGATGAAACTTTTATATATTGAAGTGTGATATAAGTAAACTAAAGATTTTGATAGATGGCTACTACCATATATATTTTTAAAAATTATATATGGAACAAATCTCAACCTTTTCAAAATCATAACTAACAGTCATCTCTTTTTTTTTTTTTTTTCTGTCCAATACTAACAGTCATCTTTACTAGGTTTAATTTAAGAAAATTTGTTACAGTTATAATGCAATTATATATATATATACATATTAATTTCTCGACATATATATATCTATTTATTTGTTCAATAACATGTAAATTAATTTATTCTTGCATTTAGTAAAGAATTATATATCAGTCACCAATTGTCACGAAGAGCTAATATATAGAAACTGATGGAGAACATGATTAAGGCTTCATTTAGGTTTAGAAACAGTGTCACTTAGACACGATTATAGCCTCAAATCACATCACTATCGTGTTCGGATGATAACTTTTCAGTGTTTCATCGCACTACAGCATCAGTTACACACTCGACCTTTATGGATCCAGTGAAAAATTGTTAAGTTCAGTTGTTCAGTTTTTTCATTTTTAACTCTTTTTGTTTTTGTTTTTATTTTATTTTTATTTAAAAGTTAAAAAATGATTTATTTCAAGATAAATTTATTGATTATTTATTAATTAAATTATTATTTAACATATAAATAATTTAATAATTTTTAATTATTTATTAATTTTATAAACATTAAATAATTTAAATTTTTTATTACATATAATTTTTAATTTAGTATCTTTAATAATCATTTTATTTCTTATTATAATTCATCTCATTGTCATGTCATGTTTACATCCAAACGCATATCTTATCATTAACTTTAATCTCACAATTACATTAATCAATCTCACCTCTATCACTATTTTCAATTTCATCATCCATCTAAATGAATTGTAATTCTATATATTATATGTAATCACTTCAAAGTCTAAACCTTTGTACAGGTTAATTACATATATAGAACTATCATCTAATCTTTATGAACAATTAATTAAGAGTCTCCACAATCTTAATTAATCTTTGCTATTGAAAATCTGGTTTATAAATATATGCTAATCCCAATTATAATAAGAGCTATACATGAATCTTAAACGCTTACTTACAAATGCCTTTGCAAATAATATTTCTTTGCCTAAATTTTTCAAATATATATATACATATATGCACCTCAAAATAATATAATACCTATTTCCCCACAAAACATTTTGTGCCTTTGATGCCATTTTAAATTTCAAATTAATTATATATACATGTCATTTAGAAATTAGAGCTTGCGTGAATGTGTCACATATATATATATATATGATTAAATATACTTCATCGAAAGCAATGCAAAGAGTTGTGAATTTTAGAGGATGCGGGTAAAAGTTGTGTGACCGCAACTTCCTGTCTGATGGGAAGCAAAATTCGCTTCTTATATATTTATATTAGATACTTGAAATTAATAAAAAAAAATTAAATTTTAATTATTAAAATTAAGAATTTAGACCAGGCAATTGTTGGTTTCTTATATATTTAGTCAAGCCACAAAGTATCTTATTTTAATTTGTAAATATTATAGGACAAATTAATGTAAAACACTTGCATGAAGCGATTACTACTATTTCATTGATGATTGAATATTTAATTTCTACATATATAGATATAGTAGTGAATCTTGAATTCATGAAAAATAATTGGAATAAATATCCGTTCAGATATTTTATGAACTCTACTCTGCATGATCAGTTTGGTCCCCCTTCCCCCCCATATATAATAATATATATACTTACAATTATGCTGAAATTAATCCTCGTCTGACCTGTTTTTGGGCTGATTTTTGTTTGAATTAATATTAATGTACAAAAAATCTATATATGCTGGGGTGGTTTGTCTGTCTGTCTGTCGTATCGGTACTACCTATAGTCTGAGGGGTTGTACTGTGGTAATTCTATTATCTATATACCTATATAAATAATAATAATTCATTAATAAATAAATATTAATTTTAAAATAAATATATATAAAAATTAAATTTATTTATTTATTAATAAAATAACATCATCTAATTTATTTTAGATATAAAATTTATTCATCTTATTAATAAGTATGTATGTGTTTTAGAATGAAACAACAAAAATAATAATGAAGTAGAAGATAGCATTGCATTTGCAGTGCACAAACAAAATAAGGAGGAGAAACATGAGCGGAAGAAAGGGGAAGGGAATCCTGGAGAATGGTCTAAAGATGTTCCTTCGTCTTCCTTGATTTATTCATTTTTATATGGCAGCGGTTGGCGCCCCAGGAAACCCACGTCTCCTCTCGTCTCCTATCTATATTTACAATTAATTTATTTGGCACGTGACATTTCCTTCGTCTGACCATTTCAAAGGTGGTCCCACCAATGCATTGGGAGATGGGGGAGAATTCAAATGGGGTCCACTATCACGTGGCATGTTGGCAGCTGGCATATACATAAGCTGTTGATTGTTTTGTTTGGTCTGAAAGAAATGACAAAGTGTGAAACGGGGTTTACGTGCAGCAGTCCACCTTGTCTACGTGACTTTGTCTTCACCTTCCCTTACTCTTCCCTTCCCTGCATTTGCATGTCTTAATTTGCTAAATTACTGTTATTTTTAATTCCTCATCCATCCCAGTGTTCTTTATCCTGATCTCGCTCTCAAAAAACCAAGGCCATTTCCATTTTTTCAATAAATTCTACACCATTTTTATTCTTTTTGTTTCTGTTTTGTCCATTTTATTGATTTAGGTAGCATATAAATTTACATACATAAACATATATATATATATATTTCCTAACATCATCATCAACTTGAACATATATTGGACCTCCTAGCTCCTATATATATATATATATATATATATAAACTAGCTTCGAATAATTATAAACTAGTCTTGTAGTATAGTAAATATATATTATTTTCAAAAATTGTTTTGATTTGTTAGTTTATATGATATACATGTGATTTTTTAAAGTTTGGGTTCAAAAATATTTACGTGCGTAATGTTTTTTTATAGGAATTATTTAGTAAAAAGGGTTGGGGATTAAGGATAAATTAAAAATTAAAAAAAAAAGATGGTACATATAAATAACATATATGCAATTCACTGGTTCAATCTAAGCTCCAGGACAAGAGGGCAATCACGTAAATATCCGATAAGGGGATTTCTTCAATGACTTACCATATTAGTATGAATTAAAAGCATATACCATATATATATATATATATATGGGACGTGGACAAATATATGATGTACCTTCAAAGTGAAGACCCATAGTAGGTGAGAGCTTCACAGATACACCCTCAAACCTTCAATTCTCTTTCTTCAACTCAAGATAGTTTAAATCCCTCGATTTCTTGTGCATGGTAAGTAAGAAAACCAACCAGCTAATTCTTCAGCTCTAACACGGCCTTGCTTATGATCTACATCTAGAATCCCTCTTTTACCATTTCAAATATCATATGATTATGATCATCAGCAAAACCTAATCGAAGAATTTGTTTTTCTTTTCCGTACAAGTAAGCCTCTTAAAGTTATTTTGAAAACCTATAGGGTTTTCAAAAAGTTCTTTCTTTTCTGTTGGAAGAAAATCAATCGGCTTATATAGATACTCTTTTCACTTCTCCTTGATTGCTTCTTTAGCTGTTGCCTTTTCCAATACTACAACTTCATTATTCTACATGTCATTTTGTTTGATAATAATATATAATTACTACATGTAGGATCAAAATATTGGGAAGAAGAAAAGCTTAAAGGAAATAGCAATGGAAGGAGAGAGAAAGGAAGAAACCTTGCCGCCGGGATTTCGGTTTCACCCAACAGATGAAGAACTCATCACTTACTATCTTGTAAACAAGATTTCAGATGCTAGCTTTACAGGAAGAGCAATTGCTGATGTTGATCTCAACAAGTGCGAGCCCTGGGACCTTCCCGGTAGTTTAACCCTATTACCCTCTGTAGAATTCCTTTCCTTCCAAATATCATTAATATTATACTTCCATCAATCAAAAGAGGTCTGACCTATGTTTTGAGCATCAATATTCATTTCTCATCATTTAGTCTTCTGAAAGAAATTATGAAGGGCCAAAATCACACCTATTTACGCTCTTTCATCGAATATTGAAAGTTTTACCTTCAGGCTGGAGCAATCAGCATAGCTCTTTTACCAACGTACGTAAGCTCTATGAATAACTGCAAATTTTATCTCGGGAAAATTTTTTTCAAAGAAAGAAAGAAACGAAGTACAAGTTTACGACAAAATTAGAGTTGCCGTTGCAAATTACCTCTTTGGTTTCATTCTGGTTTTCAATGAAGCTTAAATTAATTCATTCAAATTTGTATCCAAAAAAAAAATATCATGCATTCAACTTGCATTGATTTCTTGTGATATATGAATCTATATATATTCTTCGAAAAAAAACAACAAAGAGATGATAAACTTTGCATAAAATTTAATTATCATATACGTGTGAGCTAACCCTAGTTTGAAAATGGTTGCTCAACAGGGAAGGCAAAAATGGGAGAAAAAGAGTGGTATTTCTTCAGCCTTCGGGATCGAAAATACCCAACTGGTGTAAGAACAAACCGAGCAACGAACACTGGTTACTGGAAGACCACAGGAAAAGACAAGGAGATCTTCAACAGTGTCACATCAGAGTTGGTTGGGATGAAGAAGACCTTAGTGTTTTACAGAGGGAGAGCTCCAAGGGGAGAGAAAACCAACTGGGTCATGCATGAATATCGTATTCACTCTAAATCTTCTTTTAGAACTACCAAGGTAAATTCATACTTAATTTCAGATCATTTATTCTGCCCTAGACCTATCTATAGCAAACTAATTATGGACGGTGTTAATTAAAACAATAACTACCGATCGAGTACGCACGTATACCATTCGTTCCAATTAAATCTTTTTGATAGTTGGAGTAATAGGAATATGGACTTGTAACCTCTCCTTTTAGGAGGTAGCTATGGTTTTCCACAGATTATCTTCTTTTTAATACTATATAAATATAAATACAGGAATAAGATTAACTTATATTAGTGTAAAATTTTTTGTTTTATATATTTTTTTAATCATTAATTTTAATAAATTTAAGGGATAAAATAAACAAATAAAAATAAAATAAAATAATCTCATTCCTTAAATCTATTAAAATTAATGCTTAGAAAAACATGTAAAACTAAAAAAATTTTCATTGGTGTAAGTTAATTCCTCACAATATAGTGACATTGATTTCTCATCAGCCAATTAAGATTCTATGCATTTCTTTTACATTTAGTAACATACATCTATCTATAAAGAGGATGAAAATTTAAAACTAAAATTTTATATGAAACATGTATTAATAATGGTAGCATAGAAGAAGGCCACTATGAAAGAACTTAAATTTTCTTTAGAAGCCATAATAAATTGATGGGATTTAATTTTTAAACCATTTCAAACAAATGCAAAATAAAGATCTTCTCGTCCCTGTTATGTAGTTTCTTCTACTATATCTCTCCTAGCTCATAATCTGACAATTAAGTTCAAGCCATTGTCATGTTATATACTTAACGGGAAAAAATTGCGAAAAGAAGCTTGGTTGAAGAATTAGCTAGGCATAAAGGTGTTTTTAATAATACTAACGTAAAGAGTTTGGTAACCATGCATTTGTTGAGCAGGATGAATGGGTGGTTTGCCGTGTGTTCCAGAAGAGTGCAGGGGTGAAAAAGTACCCCTCAAATCAGTCGAGAGCAGTGAATCCCTACAATTTGGAAATAGGAGCAAGTCTGATACCTCCGGCAATGATACAGGCAGAGAACTATCACTTCCCTATGGGACGGAACTACGCAGAAGTAGCGGAGCTTTCCAGGGTTCTAAGGGGTGGTCAAAGTTCTACTGTAAATCTACCAATTCAATCCCAAATCAACTATCCAGGAGGGTTTACTATATCCGGACTGAATTTGAATCTTGGAGGCGCCTCCACGCAGCCTGTGAATGTGATGCGACCAATATTGCAGCCTCCGCAGCAACCACCACCACCAATGCATCAACAAGACGTTACGGCCACCTTGATGACCACCGCTGCTTCTTTTGCAGCAGAGAATGGGTATGGCGCGGAGATCAATCATAATACAAATGGGCCAAGCAACAGATTCTTGACCATGGAGAATTGCATGGACTTAGATAACTATTGGCCCACGTACTAAAGGACAAAGCAAAATCAAAATCGAGCAAATCTCCCCAAGTTTGTTTTGGTAATATATAGATCAGTAGTTAATTATATACAAGTATCTGTTTAGTTTGGATTAATACTTTATAATTCCCCTCATAACATTGGGGGAATTTAATGGGTCAAACACCCATCTATTACGTACTTCAGCTGATGCCTCTTAATTACTATTAGGAATTTAAATCACTACCCTAAAACTAGGAATCTAAATATATATATATATATATATATATATCCTCTTTTGTTTTGTCTGTCTCAATTGTGAACTACACTTTCAATTTACGTGTTTTAGTTAGTTATTATCTAATGAAAATTCACCGTTCTCTCTTATTTTTTATGGCAAATTAAATATAATGCATCGGCAGTCATTTTTTGCTTTCAGCACCGTCTTTAAAACCATAGTATCATATCCTGGACGTACTGATAAATGTCAAGTCTACATAATATTTTTATGAATCTTTACATGTAACTTTATATCATAATTAATTAACTATAATGCAATAATTATAGTAAATATACTCCTTTAAATATCGGATCTTTTATGTTAAATCAACCCATTCGAGGTCAAAAAGGCCATGGCATAACAAAACTCTACGATGGCAAAAACCAAAACCTCTAACCTTTGTTGCCTCATTTCACCGCTCCTTGTAATTTCGTTTCGTCAAAATATTATGCAAATGATAAAGAGCTAACAAAGCCAGAGCCAAGCGAACGCAGATAGCAGTTCCTTGGGCGATGCATAGAGTGGAAAATTGAAATCGCTTATGATCCATTAAAGCCAATCAGAAATGAATCATGCTGGTATTGAGGAATCACCTAAATTAACTCTTTTACAAATGTCAGTAACAAGAAAAGGCCAACCATTTGACTAACATACATCCCATGGATGTTGCAGTTTAAAGCATGATTTCTGAAACAGAGTTCTTTCAATTGTGAATCTAGAAGAATAAAAACTAAAATTAAACTATAACATAAATAACTAAAACTGACACTGGCCGGAATACACGAACTCCAACATATGAGATATCTCAAGATTTCAACTGTGTAGCGTCCAAAGGGTTCTTAACTTTTTTCTATTTTCCTCGCAAAAGAAAAAAAACATGAAACTTAGTGCCCCAACAAACACACATCCAGCCTGCAAAAAATACAAAACATAGTTAGCACGCTCAATTGCAGCCATAGAACAACAATAAGTCGAATGCTCAAGGTTCACACAGCAGGCCTCCATAAAAGTATTGCATCAGCTTTCAAAGATACCATACTATTAACCACCTATCTGATTATTAGGCTGCAAGACTTTTTTTTTACAATAAAAGTTTACAGTTTCAATCCCTCCTCTTCTAGCAAGTTTTGCCATCATCTTTTGGCCTATGTAATCAGAGAAGCATACCTCTAATATTTCCCAAAATAAAGAGACCAAAAATTAAGCGCATGCAGTCTGCTTGTCTGGGTGCCCCCTTTTGGCCTTACGACGACCCTGGTTGGTATTAGCGTGTCGAGCAGGCTTCTTGGCCTTTTTGCTGCAGTGATTAGAGTTATTAAAGTTTTTGGCATGGTGAAAACAAGGATAGTTACAGCAAACTATGGCATTCTTATAAGAACAATAGAAAATGCACCGCGAGACTACATAGATAATTAAGAAACTGACCAGAAAATGGCTGAAATTATTCTGAACAAAATAATAATAGGTAAAGCCAACAGAGAAGATGCCTGCAATATTGAAATAACAGTAAGTTGTATTATTTGTGCCAAGTAACAAGTGATCAAATTATTTGATTTCAGTGAACACTGATAAATAGGAAAGGCTATACTACGCAACCAAAATATACCTACCGCAAACCACTCAAGCTCTTTGGTTGCAAGAGGTCTTGTTAGCTCATGCTTCTTCAAAATTTCTTGCACATAGGCTTGAACCTAAATAATACATGCAACGATAGTTCAATAAGCCATGATATATTTGAAACATAACAGTACTTTAAAGATAACAAGGTAACAACAATCTGAAAATTACTATATTTCAATCCCAGATTACAAAATAACTAATACAGTTCGGAGACATATATATATATATGTAACTGTCGCGGGCTCCAGTCTTAACAGTTCTGAGACATATACTTTACTCTTGCCTACTTTCTGTTCTCTTTCTAGCCTTTTCCCAAACAGTTTGTGTGCTTTGTCTTTTGCAGCAGCTTTGGGAAGCTAGGCCCTGAAGCATCAAGTGCCTGAGCACCAATCTGAGTAAAGGCTGATCTTGGACCCCGGAAGGGTCCATTCCCAGGTCCAGGAGCCACACAAGCTTGGAGTTAAAGTCTCGGCCCGTGACATAATTTGTATGCTTTAGCTTCTAACAGGAAATTTCAGTTCAACCACATTATAGGCAGTGCAGAAAAACTTAATATGCCACAAAAGTTAGGAGACTTTTACACCAAAGTCAAGCCAATTATTCAAGTTCATTTACTTTTAAAAGAATACTTAAATTTATTATCTAGTAGTGACAGAACCAGTATAGTTCAAATCTTAATCCTCTAAAACATGAAAAGGAAAATAAAGAAAATGTGAATGCCTTCCCACATAAATGGATCAACACAACTTTAAAAGAGTAACAAACTAGAACCACCTAGCATACTTGCACAAACCAAAACAAAGAATGAGGAAAACCTATAAATTTGGCATTCAATCCCATATCTTCACTGTCCAGAATTACTATTCCTTCAGACCTTCACTGTGGCAGACTCAAAAAACAACTGAAAATTAAAAATAGATACATCATGCTTAGGGTTTTAATGCCTTTGCCTGAATAGGCCTTTTCCAAAAACCGGCAGCTTATACACACTGCCAACTTCAACAAATTGGATAAACTGATGTCATGTTCCCCACAATAACTCATAAAGAGAGACCAAACAATACCAAAAAAGCATTTGATACCTGATGATGGTATGTTGTTGCGGATTCCAAAAACTTCCCATAAGCATTAACTACCTCCTTTGTATAGGGCTTCATCACCACACGAACTTTATCAACATGAGGCTTTGCTAAAGTAGCAACCTGATCAACATATGGCTTACTGAACTTCTTCGCTTCCTGTGACCAAGAAAGCTGTGCTTCAGGATGCATGTCAACGTGGTAGAAAAGACATGGTGGAGCATAAGCACATACCTGGAAGTAAGGATCAACTATTTCTTGAACTTTGATAATATGAGGAGTTATTGCAGTCTTTGATCCCTCATAAATTTCAACCGTTTTTGCAGTTAGTGATTGCACATGTGGTTCAGCATATGTAGTTATGACCACCCACTGATCCTTAATAGCTGGAACCCATTTCTTCAAGTGAAAAGATTAGAATCATAAGAATGCCATTGAATTAGAAAGAAACTCATATAATTACACATAAGCTCCTGATTTGTTTGGAAATATCAGCTGTAAAAGAAGCTTACGGTTTTAATTGTTTCCATGTGGGGTTCAGCCCACTTTTCAGCTAAGGCCTTTTTCTCTAGAGCCTGCATAGAATATGAAAAATATTTAGTTGTAATAATATGATTTTTTAATACTCAACAATAATGTTGCACCTAGATCTGAGATTCGACGCATAAAATAACTAGTTGATTAAATAACAGTTTTTAAACCAGTAAGATCTTAAAGGACCACATAGCAGTAAAAGTTAATAAAAAGAATAATAATAATAACAATAATAATAATACCTTCTGGATCAACATATCCATGGCAGGTTTTCCATGCTCATCCCAATGTGTCTGAATGAAAGCCTGCACCAGGACAGTTGATAGAATCACAAGAAAAAAATCTGTAATAAATACAAAACATTAAATATTATCCTAAATTTACCTGACTGCGGATTAACTGCACAGCAAGCCAAGGTGGGAGCCAGGCACTGTGAACCTGATTGCAACATGCATATTAGACTAGTGACTAAAACTACAAGCTTCCAATAACATTCAATTTACAATTTGTTTAGAAAGTATAATTCCACAATTTTCCGTGATACTTGTAGAATTTACTATGTGCTTTAACAAATTTTCTTCATTGTTGCTAAAATATCTACAGTTAATAATCAATAACAGTCACATGGAGACTATTTTGACACTAGTACAGGTAATTTGATAAAATTAACATCATAATACCAACTAAAACTTTCAATCGACAGTTTCAGATAATGAAGATAACTCCAACAAATAGAAATTCCAGATAAAGGAAACCCATCTATGTACAGGCTGTAAGGACAAATCAAAATTACAGCAACAAGTGCTGTCCCTTAATGTAGTAACCCTGTCTAATGAACTTTACAAGGCAAAGTCCTATAATGTTTGCCAGTTCTTTTAGCTGAAGAACGATTATCTCAACCAGCAGATGCTAGAGACAATTTACTAAATTCACTCAGAAATTTTTGTGACAAGAAACTCCAAAAGAATGCCACACAGATAGCATAGCACCATGAACTAAGCAAACTTATTACCTCCATCAACTCATTCGTCTTCAACGTGGCCTCAAACTTTGCCTTCATCAATTTTTCCTATTGAAAAAAATGATATAGTTAGAAAATTAACTTGAGAACCATCATCTAGCGCAAAGTATGATATTGCACCTAGTTAACCATAACATACCTCAGCAATTTTTAGAGCTCGTTCAGTTTTTTCTATTTTGTTCTTCTGCTCATTATTGGTCTTTAGAAGCTGTAAAAAAAGAAGACAATTCTAACAGGATTACAAAATACCAAGTGCACCATAAGAAATGCATTCATATATGTGCCACTAGTAAAACGATGGCAGAGCATAGCAACAACATAATTGGAATTCCACACAATGCCAGCAATACTTACATTCTCTAGCTTCAAATTCAATTCAGCCAACTTGTTCTCAGCTTCTGTTGCACGGCCTTCCAAGGAATCTTTTTGCTTTAATTTTTCTTCCAATTCAGTTTTAAGTTTATCAACCTGGACAGCCAGAAGTAACATCAGAATGTTGAAAACAAGCTACATTTATCTGTAAAACTGGAAACGTCCTTGATGTGCAACTACCTGTTTCTGTAAATCAAGAGCCTGCGCGTAAGCTTTTCCCACCTGCTCCTCAGCATCTGAGGTTCCTTTTTTCTGACAAACAAGAAAGTATACCCTTTAGCAGCCAAATGACGGGGTAAGCCCTGTGCTGTGTGCCTTTGTAGACTCTTTTTTATCATACTACTAATTTATTTATTAAAAAAAATGATACAAGGAAAAGAAATTGCAGACCTGAAGAGATGATAATTCAGTGTGCAAGGATGCAATGCTGTCCGATTTGTCTTGAATAATTTTCTCTTTCTGCTTTATTATCTCATCCTTGGTTTTCAATTCTCGAGTATTCTCCTCAACATTTGATTCTTCATAAGAGGAAATAAAAGAAGAAAGATTTGATTAGTCAACAAAGATGAACCTAAAATCCACATTTTAAATCGATTGAACTTTCACCCACAAAAATGGAATAAAAAATTGAAGCTTAAGCCAATCTAATAATGGATAAACCTAACAACAATTATAGCACGGTTATGAGTAAGTGGATAACCAAAATTGGAAAGTCAATTCATCACAAGAGTTACAACCAGTAGCATAAACAAAACGAAGTGATCTAGATTAGCCGGCCTAAAGTGAAGTAAAAGGCTTTGAATCTGAAATAGAAAGAATGATCAAAGTAAGAAAGACAAAGTAAGTAGTCAAGTAGAAACGAGAATCGGGAATAGGAAAGCTAACCGAGAAGACGGATCTTAGACTTGAGTTGATCCAACTCCATCTCAAGAGCAGATGAATCGGAGGCGTCCGATTCGAGCACTGGTTCGGTTGAGACATCGGCTTTAATTTTGTTGAAAATTAGGGTTACAAAGAGGGCGAAAATCACGAGCTTTGAGGCTGCCATCCGCCGGTTACTAAGCCACCTAGACTCGTTGCGCAAAAGAAAATTTAACCAAACACCTGCACAGCCAAAGAGGGCTTCACTCTCAACTTCTTCGACTTCTTCTTCCTTGGTATATAATAATAATTTATTAATTAATAATTAAAAGTTTTTTTTTTCTTTCTTGTGTTGTTGTCAATGGAGGAGATTTAATTTTCCTTCAAAAAAAGATGGGAGGATATTTTGATTTGGCTCTGGCTCTATTTCTCTGACAAAAACGTGGCAATTATTTTATCGAAAAAAAACAATTAAAGGAATAGGATAGCTATTTTAATAAACAAGTAGGAAGATCGGGAAGAGGCAGCCGGTACTAATAAAAGAATCGTCGCCTTGGGGTTGGGAGAGAAGTAAACAAGCGAAGAAGGACGTTGAGACCGACACGTGTGGGTTACAGATTCTAAGAATATCTAACGAGGAACACGTGGCATATATTAAGAAGGTAGGGCCAGCAGGTTGAGATTGTTGTAACGATTGAAGGGTTTGAATGGTGCACAAAACGAGGCAGGAAGAGGTCGGTGAGACAATGAAAGCCACACCTAATAATAAGCAATATATTAGTCTTTGGTTTATGGCGGAAATTTGTTACTCCAATATGTAGACTCAATCCCAATCAAGGTTCCTGATTCCTGATGTTGTCGTGTGGGCTTTATATTTCCGAAGATACAATCTCAACGTCCAAAATATCTTAAGGAGTTTGATTATTTTATTATATAATTTAGATTTCATTTTTTACGTTAACAGTGTCTTTAATGATATTTTATTAATTTAATATAAATTTTTATTGAAATTTACGGCACGATCTGATTGTAAAATAAAATAATCTCTCATCATTTAAATTTTTTATATAAAATTTTGAGTAATATTTTTAATTTTATATTTCTTACGATACAATTAAGGAGGACTAGAATTTAAGACACGAGTGAGTGCAGGATGTAAGTTTCTTGTGCCAAAAAAAATATAAGGAATGACATTTTTTAATTGTATTTTCTAATATGCAATTAAGGGGTCCAAGAATTTAAGAGGTGAGAAAGTGAGTGCAGAGTGTAAATGAATTTATATATTTGTGATATGATTGATTTTAGATTTATTTAAATTTAATTTAATTATTATTAATTTGAGTAAATTAAATTATTAAGTGAATTGAATTTAAATTGATTAATATTCAATCATGTAACTCTGTTCTAATATTTTCATTTTTAGTATGTTATAATATATTAATATTATATAAATAATTTATAATCATTTATAATTTTACTTTTGCTATATATAAAAATAAATTTTATAGTTTTTTCTCAATTCAAACTTGGTAAGTAATCGAACTATACTTTAATTTGTTAATTTGTACTTGATCAAGAATTTAATTGAGTTTTAATAATTTAATTTTTATCTTAAATCAAATATAAAATTAAAAATTTAAATTAAATTTAAACCAAAATTCGACTTATAAATTTTGGATTGAATTCAAAATTTTCAATAATTTCAACTCAACTTAACTCAATTATATCATTGAGTGGTAGCACTAGTGGTACAAATTGAAATACTGTATAAAATATATACTCAATGTCCTAATCTTGGAAAAAATAGGTTAATTTGTTCTAAATTTGATCATATCACAAAGTATAAAATATTCTAGTACTTGCCATCGCCAAATGCCAAGCTCCACAGTCACCAGGATTAACGGGCTCTTTTTTTTTGGTCCAGTCCAATCAAAGGCACAGACAAATTGGGTTACCTTCGCTAATTTGAACAGATTGGCCCGACTGTTGATCTTTCCACAAGGCCCACCTAATAATACAACCCACATTTTTATTATTGTTATTTTTTGAAAAATAAATATAACCCTCATCCTTAACTTACTGCTCATTTTAATTTTTTCAGAGTAAAAATAAAATAATACTCTATAATATTAAACAGAATGGATCAGATAATATTTCCATAAAAAATGGATTCTGTATATTAAATCCATTAATTTTCTAATTCTCGATTGTGTGCTTAATAATACTCCATTTGATTTAATCAGGTTTAATTAACGTGCGATTTTCAGTTAAAATCTCAAATTCTAACTATTTGACTGTATATCTTGCTCTTTAAGGATCTAATTATCTCACATTCTCAATCAAAAAAACAATTAAAAAAGGAAAATCGAAAAGGATCTTAATTATGTCTAATTTTCATTTTGAGAAATTAAATTACTCTAAATATTGCACCAAAAAAAAAAATGCAGTGTGTAGCTTGATTTTTCGACATTACTGGTGGTTCTCCGCAGTGCTCTACGTACCACAACCATAGACATTTATTCATGGAATTAAATTTGGTTTAATAAGAAAAAGTTAGGATTCTCCATTCTAATTTTCTAATTATAAAACTTACAACATTAATTCATGAAATATCAGCTGAATAAGTTGAATTCAAAGTTTAATTCAATTAATTTATATAATAATTATTAAAAAATAACATCTAGTAAATCTTAAATTTTAATTTTAATACATAAAATCTCTTTTCTTATATATTTTTAAATTAAAAATATTCATGGACAAATTGAATTAGGTTTGAGTCAGGCCTATAGTTGGTAATAATTACTTATATGTTTGTTAGACTTAACCTATTCCAATATTTCGAACTTTAAAAATTCTAACCTAAATTAAAAAAATAAATTTTAAATCTATCTATTAAACTTAATTTATGTAATAAAAATTTAAAAAAAATTGAAATAATAAAATATAAAAAATAAAAATTTATATAGATGCTTATAAAATTATAATATTTTAATTATATATAATTTATTCGAGTTAAATCAAGCTAAAGTTTTTATTCATGAAATATCAGTAAAATAAGTTGAATCCGAAGTTTAATTCAATTTATTTATATAATGACTATTAAAAATAACATATAGTGGATATGCAATTTTAATTTTAATACATAAAATCTTTTTTTATATATATTTTTTAAATTAGAAGTATTCATGGGCCAAGTCGGATTAGGTTTGAGTTTAGCCTATGCTTAGAAATAATAACTTATATGTTTGTCCAAACCTAACCTATTCCGATATTTCGAGTCTTAAAAATTCTAACCTAAATTAAAAAAAAATTAAACCTATCTATTAAATTTAATTTACGTAATAAAAAATTAAAAAATATTTTTAAAAAATAAGATATAAAAAATAAAAATTCATATATATAATTATATAATTATAATATTTTAATTATATATAATTTATTCGAGTGAAATCGAGCTAAATTTTTAATTCATGAAATATCAATAGAATAAGTTGAATCTAAAGTTTAATTCAATTGATTTATATAATGACTATTAAAAAATGACATCTAGTGAATTTGAAAATTGAATTTTAATACATAAAATCTCTTTTCTTATATATTTTTAAATTATAAGTGTTCATAGGCCAAGTCAGGTTAGGTTTGAGTCGGGTTTATGCTCAGTATTAATAATTTATATGTTTATCCAGACCTAACCTATTCCAATATTTCGAGCCTTAAAATTTTTTACCTAAATAATTTTTTTTAAAAATTTATCTATTAAACTTAATTTATGTAATAAAAATTAAAAAAATTTTTGAAAAAATAAAAAATAAAATTTATATATATATATGCTTATATAATTATAATATTTTAATTATATATAATTTATTCGAGTCAAATCAAGTTAAAGTTTTAATTCATGAAATATCAATAGAATAAGTTGAATCCAAAGTTTAATTCTATTTATTTATATAATGACTATTAAAAAATAACATATAGTGGATATGAAATTTTAATTTTAATACATAAAATATTTTTTCATATGTATTTTTTAAATTATAAGTATTCATGGGCCAAGTCGGATTAGGTTTGAGTTGGGCCTATGCTTAATAAAAATAACTTATATGTTTGTCAAGACCTAACCTATTACGATATTTTGAGCCTTAAAAATTATAACTTAAATTAAAAATAAATTTAAACATATCTATTAAACTTAATTTATGTAATAAAAAATTAAAAAATATTTTTTAAAAATAAGATATAAAAAATAAAAATTCATATATATAATTATATAATTATAATATTTTAATTATATATAATTTATTCGAGTGAAATTGAGCTAAATTTTTAATTCATGAAATATCAATAGAATAAGTTGAATCTGAAGTTTAATTCAATTGATTTATATAATGACTATTAAAAAATAACATCTAGTGAATTTGAAAATTGGATTTTAATACATAAAATCTCTTTTCTTATATATTTCTAAATTATAAATGTTCATGGGCCAAGTTAAGTTAGGTTTGAGTCGGGCCTATGCTCAATATTAATAACTTATATGTTTGTTCAGACCTAACCTATTCCAATATTTCGAGCCTTAAAATTTTTTACCTATATTATTTTTTTTTAATTTATCTATTAAACTTAATTTATGTAATAAAAAATTAAAAAACTTTTTTGAAAAAATAAAATATAAAAAATTATATATATGCTTATATAATTATAATATTTTAATTATATATAATTTATTCGAGTCAAATTAAGCTAAAGTTTTAATTCATGAAATATCAATAGAATAAGTTGAATCCGAAGTTTAATTCAATTTATTTATATAATGACTATTAAAAAATAACATATAGTGGATATGAAATTTTAATTTTAATACATAAAATCTTTTTCATATATATTTTTTAAATTATAAGTGTTCAATGGGCCAAGTTGGATTAGGTTTGAGTTGGGCCTATGCTTAATAATAATAACTTATATGTTTGTCAGACCTAACCTATTACGATATTTTGAGCCTTAAAATTCTAACTTAAATTAAAAATAAATTTTAAACATATCTATTAAACTTAATTTAGTAATAAAAAATTAAAAAATATTTTTGAAAAAATAAGATATAAAAAATAAAAATTCATATATATAATTATATAATATAATATTTTAATTATATATAATTTATTCGAGTGAAATCGAGCTAAATTTTTAATTCATGAAATATCAATAGAATAAGTTGAATCTGAAGTTTAATTCAATGATTTATATAATGATATTAAAAATAACATTTAGTGAATTTGAAAATTGGATTTTAATACATAAAATCTCTTTTCTTATATATTTTTAAATTAGAAGTGTTCATGGGCCAAGTCAGGTTAGGTTTGAGTCGGGCCTATGCTTTGTAATAATAACTTATATGTTTGTCCATACCTAACCTATTTCAATATTTCGAGCCTTAAAATTTTTGACCTATATTATTTTTTTTTTAATTTATCTATTAAACTTAATTTATGTAATAAAAATTAAAAAACTTTTTTGAAAAAATAAAATATAAAATATAAAATATAAAAATATATATATATGCTTATATAATTATAACATTTTAATTATATATAATTTATTCGAGTCAAATTAAGCTAAAGTTTTAATTCATGAAATATCAATAGAATAAGTTGAATTGAAGTTTAATTCAATTTATTTATATAATGACTATTAAAAAATAACATATAGTGGATATGAAATTTTAATTTTAATACATAAAATCTTTTTTCATATATATTTTTTAAATTATAAGTGTTC